TTGATGCATGCAAGGTTAAATTAAAAATAGATACTGATGTTTATGGATTTCAAGTATCTATTCATTATCTTCTTTCTTATAAATCAATATCAAATATGCACACAGGATTGTATATTCTTCTCTAATTGTCTATTGATCGATATTTATGCAGGTATATAGTGCTTATGCAAACATCCTAATTCTCATTTTATTTGTTTGTTTGTAAAGAAAATGTAGATATATAGATCTTGATAGAGAAGTGATTGATTCGTTAGTATTTGGTATTTGTATATAATGATATACATATGCGAACGAAGTTCTTCTTTTGGATATATCTATGCCTATCTAAAAGTAGAACTTTGTTCGCATTCCGTTCATCAAATATATATTCATTTATAAGTATTCTTTATGTCTGATAATGTTTCTTGAGTATGGTTGAAGTCATAATTTTTTATTTAAACGTGTAATCTATCATGTTACATGATTTCTGATCTTTAATTCACACGATCACTTCTTATGTCAAGGTGCTGAGCTATTTTGAACACAGAGTTGAAACTTTTTATGCATTCCTAGTGCCTTATTCACATGCGCTAACTACTACTGTGTCGTATTTATAAAGTATTAGATACACGTAATTATGAGGTAATTTAAAGAATGTGTATCGTCGCTATTTAGGTTATTTGGATTTTCGCATGGATTGATTTCATTGACATATATCGGCTTCTAGAATACTTCACGGTTAACATGATGTCACTCTATTGGTTGTGGCTGGCAATAAAATCAGGGATGCACGTTTTGTTCTACTTAGATGTGAAGTAGTGTTACTTCACCAAATAATAATTGACACACCTGTTATGCAAGAGGCAGCTTTCCCGCTTTTATTAGCCAAGGGATGATTAGTGTTTTGGCGTTTGAATTAGTGGCTGCTGGGTTCGAGTCTCCGTGGGGACATCATCACTGATTGGAAATACAGGTGCATCTAGCTGATGAATCCCAGACAAAACAAAACTCACGTTGTAGATTCGATTACTATTTTCCACCAACCAGTTAATATCATGTTTGGCATTTTAGTGATATAAGGAAAGCCAGAACACTGGTCAGTATATGATTGCCAAAACTTTGTTGCCTACAATTCAGTTTAATCCAATATTCTATTGAAGATCGTACTTACTCAGTGCAACAATAAATCTACTGGTATTTACAAAAGAATATCAATATAGAATAAGCGGGGAAAAATCAATCAGGATCATTGACTAGGGTTATTCATAACTGACTTTTAATTCGAGCTTCTTATCTGCTCATTTTGTTTTTCAAAAGTTAGTGCATGAAGTTTTCTTTACAGTAATGATGTTTGATATTGGACTCTCTACGTAGAAATCATCTGGGAGTGCTGCACCTAAACTTCATTCTCGTCCCAAATAGGCCGAGATACACATCCCCTGGATTCCACTGCTAGTCACCATCCATCATATTATTTCCACCTTGTTTTCATTCCCTTGTTGAGCTTTCTATTTCTTGTTGATTGAAGTATATAATTTGTGTAGGATCAATAGTCAATAATCCACCCCCCGTCCCCTCCGTCAAGGTTTTATATGTTCACATTGTTAGTTTGTCTTCCTACGGTCAATAGAGTTCTGTACAATTGAATATAAAACATCACAGAGATATACTCTCTTCCGCACGTGAAATAAGTAACAGACGACTAGTGAGACTTCTGTTATGATTATGAGTGGACTTAAGTTAGAGAACCATTAAAAACCCGGAAGTGTTGAACTGTTGTTTCATCTAAGTGTGGGACTCTTCGGCAGTACGCACCCATCAGCCCACCGGAGGTAGAACCCAAAACCCTAAGCTTATAAGGTGGGCTCATTTACCAGTCAGCTACTGGGACTGAACCCAATGTCTCTTTATCTCGAGTCGATGGAAGTTAGAATTTATGCACCATTTGATTCTCTCCCAGTGGTTGAAATGGTTAACGAGCTTGTCTTGTAATCTAAGGTTCTTGAGTTTGATCCTCAGTAGCAAAGGTTATGAGTGCGCATTGATGAAGAGTCTCAAACTAGGATGAAACAGCTGTCCAGTACTCTCTGAAGGTTTTCTAATGGTTTCCTAATTGAAGTCACTTCGTGATATGTGCATCCTTTTATTACTGAATTCGTTCTTGTTATCCATTAAATAAAATGTAAACAAAACTATTGGTACTAGGAAAAATTCAATCCATGTCATATTTATCAGTGTTATGTGTATTGTTTTATTATAATGATGAGAAAAGAAACGATACATTGTTGCTTTTAAAATAATCCAGGTTACACTTTTGTCGACACGTGTTTTTAATTATGCTCATAGAGTGGAAGTAGTAGAAGTACTCACCAAATTGATTCCGGCCATTCATTTATTGCATTAGAAAGTGTTCTAAATCTCAATAAATTATAGATCTTTTTCAGCCACTAGGAGTAAATATGGTGTACATGTGTGTGTGTGTGTACATTTCTCTACCAGTAAGTACATAAAAAGGTGTGTGCAATTAGAGACTAGTTATTTCTTTTAGAATTATCACTACCAAATGAGATCACTTTCTACTTTATTCTCACCTATATTGAATAATTAATTCCTAAAACTCTTTATTCTTAAGATACACCAAACTTGCGTCAATCATTTATGACAGCTTATTCGACTTTACAAAAAATTAATTCAGAAATGTGTTTGTTTGCATATGTGTGTGTGTGCGTGTGCTTATCTACCAGCCTACTTTGAAGTCAATTAGGTATTTGGAGTTTTTTTTGTAAAGATGGAATTGCTTCTTCTTTTGCTTTAGTGATCTAAAGTGAAGTGAAACTCTAGATTACTACCACTACTGCTGCTGTGGTGTGTGCTACTGATAAGATTTATCAGTAGTATATAAAGGGACACACGTCGGCATTAAATAATCTAATAGCTGGGAGATACATTTGACGTCGCAGAAAGCAAATGATACAGCGTTGTGTAGATACATATGAGACGTGAAAAGAATACAACGAAACACAATACGAAGGGAGGGCAGAAGTAGCACAACACGAAAGGTCTGTGCAGATGGTGATTTCAAGATAAGGTGTACATAATTTGGCTATACAGAGATACCAAATTCCAAATAATTAATCCTTGATCAAGTCTCTCGTCTTCTACCGTTACACCACTACTACTCTTTCAATAATCTTTGGTTTGATTTGATAGTCTATGTTTAGCAGATGTTGGAAATATCAGTTTGTGGTAAATTAAAGGTATAAATGACATTGAGCGAACTCCAGTGGGTGCGTGCTGTTGAAGAGTTCTAAACTAGGACGAAACAGCTGGTTGTCCAGTGATTCTGTGATGCCAGCTCATGATGAAATCCTCCAACCAATCAAACAATATTTCCCACAAAACCAATACTTAAAAGTATAAATACTTTTTTAGTGCGTCATTTGAAGTGTACATTCGTTTGTTGTAGATATCTCGTATCATTACTTCGACGTGTGGTAGTACACATCATCATATCTGCATTTTAAAGTAAATATCTTCAATTTGATTACTTACTGTGTGACATTTCTGTATTAATTTTATTTAACCTATTCATCATCATTTCTTGTAACATACATTACCCTTTTAAAAAAATATTTTATCCAGTTAACTGTCTTTTTGTAGATAAAAATATTTATTTTGCTTCAGCGAATACCAGTGAATATAATGCATTCGAGTGCGTCGGTGGCACAGCGGTAGAATGCTCTCCAGCTATACCCCGTGTGGTTCTGGGTTCCATCCCCTGCCGACTCACTCCTCTACCTCGTTAAGCCAGTAATAAGACTGGTAAAAGAGGGAAGGTTGTGCATGAGGCTAGCAATCCCATCTCGTAAAAATAAATACTACTGCTACTGAATCTTTGAACTCTAGCTTGAAGCTCTATGTTCCACAGGGAACGTTAAGGAATTTTTAAAAAAATGCATTCTATTGTTGAAGCACAGTTTGTAAGGAATATAAAATATCGTATACTCATTTGAATGAAAATACGTTTTACTGGTGAAGGGATTTTCAACTTTTATTCAGTGTTCTTTAAGGTTCAAACTACTTTCTTCCTTTTTCAATTTAAGCAAATTAGAATTATCAAATGTCGTGCTATATTAGACACCACTCATGACTTACTGAGTGAAGCGAATTTTATTAGTTTTAAGAATTCTACGTTGTTGTTTAGTATTATTTTGTTCCTTTGTGTTCCGAGTGAAACATAGGGTTTCAAGCTTAAGCTCTGAAGTTTCAGTAGCATTTATTTTTAACTTTTTGCGGGGTAAAGTTGCTAGTCTCACACCCAAACTTCCTTCTTCAACGGGCTTACTACTGCGTGAGCCAGGTTTAGGAGTGCTTTGTTTGGAAATCGAACCTCAGACTGCTCGAGGTGGGGTTGGCGTGTATTCTATCACTGAACCACGATCGCTGATTAGTATAATCACATAAGGTGTCTTTCGATTGGTGAGGTTTACTTATCCGTCATCAATATTTGAAACTCACCTATTTTAGTTGTATGAGGTAGAAATTTGTGAAAATGAACACCTGTATTATGTTCTTCAAATTTAACATCGTTCAAGTAAACTATAACACTTTGTGTAAAAAATAATTTTTTTTTTTTAGTAAAAAGTCCTGTTTTCTGTTGCTTCTGACTTTTATTTTAAAAAAAATTTTGCTCATATGGAGCTTTCAAAAGTTGAATTGCATTATCCTGCCTGTCGTGTTTGTACTTATCAGCTTCCAAAAATGCTGTTACATATTGTTGCATGTCCTACTGCTTCCCATCTTTTTCCCCCGTATAACTTTATTTTTTCGTGTTAATGTTCAACTATGGATCGTGTTACATACCTGAAGTTTGCTCCTTCCCATCTGTCAATTCATGTCATTGTTACCAATAACATTTGTGTATGCAATATATATATATATATATATATATATATATTTCCTTGATTAGTATTACATATATCCTAGACGAATGAATGACTTTCACTTTTTATATTTTTTAGATTTATTAAACAGAAAAGAGCAACTGGACGATTGAAAAAGTATTTGGGTGATATATTTTTACAATTAGGGATACCGAAATGGCACAAGTTCAGTATAATATCGCTATTGAACATTTGAAACCGATTGGTGATAATTTATGGCTTGCTGGTAAGTCAGTCACTTGTTAATCCTTTTTTTAGACTACAGTTGTTGTTGTTGCTTTTTTTTCTCATACGTTTTTTTTTTGAAAGAAAATCTTTGTCATTAATTATCTCTCCATTGAGTTTAAACACCAAGGTTAACGAGACTATCTTTTCTAGGTTTTGCAGTGATTAGGGTATAAATTACGCCAAACAGAAAAGTATGTTTCAGGCTTGAATATTTATTGATTACGTATTCAATTTAAATATGTAGAAATATTAAGATGACACAATAAACAGGAAGTTCGGATATGAAAATATGGTAGTGTGTACAGGAATGAAGAAAAACGTAAAAATAACATGAATAAACAGGAAGTTTAGATAAGAAAGGCTATGGGATGATCATTACTAAAAGAATTACCTGTTTATGATGACCATGGCAGGGACAGGGTTTGGACGTATTTCTTTTGGATACAAAGCGTGGGTTTGAGCTTGTGGATAGACATTGCCTCGGCTATACCCAGATGTCTTAATTTCACTCCCTTTGATAGGTTTGATTGAATCTTGTATATTACTTTGAAGGATTTTTTGAAGTTTTTCCAATCGCCTTTCTTATCTCAACTTCCTGTTTATTCATGTTATTTTTACGTATTTAATTTAATTACTTCTTTGTCTAGTTTGTTAGGCTTCTCAGATAACAGAAAAAAGAGATGATACGGAAGCGTTAGGAATTTGTGAGAGCTGGGGGAATGAAAGTGGACTGTCTGGGTAGTTAATTATGTAGTAAATAATCAACTCTAGTCGACAAGACAACAAGCACTGACACAGTACACTGAGGAAGTGACCATCACGATATCACCAACAGCACTGGGAGTTCTCAAGCAGTGGAAACCAGTCTCTTTCCAGATTCTGACAGAGAGGAAGTAGAATTGTAATTATACAATCCTACACACTTGTAGACTTTCAACCAACGTCATATGCCAGTCCGTCCAATGGAACACGAATAGGAAACGAATAGTTGGTCATCATTAGTCCAAGGGTAACGTGAAGGAGATCTTGTGGAAAGGAGTAGAAACCTTGTGACCAGTCGTAGATAAAAGAAAGTTGATTACTGAATCCTGGTTTTTTGAGTCTACCCCCAACACATGCAATAGGAATGAGTCAATGCAAATTCAAGAAATATGGAAGATATTATTACCGCCAGTCAGTCAAATCAGAAGAGGATAATAAATAATCTTAAAATTCTATTCCAATTCAAGCATATCACAACATCCAAACAAGTTACTTATTTTGACTATAAAAAACACTCGTCTTATTTCCCATCTAATTGTAATTGATCAATAACACTCATATTAATAATTCTGCATTTACATTATCCTATATTAACTTTTATTCCAATATCTAATCAATTCCACTCATGTATGTAAATGAAGGAAACAGTTGTGTGAGTAACTTGATATGATTATGAGCGATAGTTTGTGCTCGAAACTTCATCAAATAATATTACTGTGTAACACTGTGTGATATATCAAAATAAAATCTTATCCTTAATCGAGTTGTACTCAACCACAGTGCCCAAGTTTTATACTTATATCGAGAAACCAATAAGATGGATACGTCTGTCTGTTTTCGACACAGAACTTTGCACAAATGTGCGGAAGTTCAAGTCGCCACATTCCGTGTAGCACGCGAAGCAAGAGAAGAAAGTACAAGAAAAGCATAATAGAAACAGTGAGCAGAGGTGTGAGACAAAGGAGTAATAAAGAAATACAAAACAGTTTCATTGAAGATCATAAGTCACAGGGAGTGGATGCATCTGCGCCATTGATAACGATTTTGAGCCATGTCACCAATTGTTTCCAACCATAGATTTTTACCGTCTCGAGGACCCCAGCCTGGAAGTCTACACCTTCCTACGTGGCTTAGACCAACTGTTGTAGATTTCATTGACTGATGCCAAGTTTTTGTTTGACCGCCTCTAGCTTTTTTCCAGCCTGACCCTATATCCGCTAACATAGCTCGTCGAGGGAGGCGATGACTTGGCATACGTAACACATGTCCTAACCATCTCAGTCTTTGTAGCTTCACGACTTCGTCGATTGATTTCCCCTGTTTACCTAGAACTCTGCGCCTAACCTCCATGTTGCTCACCTTATTATGCCACTTCACACGGGAAATAGAGCGCAGGCACCTATGATCAAAGACAGCTAGTCTTTTCATGTCTTCCACTCTCAGTGGCCAGGTCTCACAGCCATAAAGGAGGACGGAGCGGACTGATGAGCAGTACACCCGCCCTTTGGTCGATAGTCGAACATCTCGTCTACGCCAGAGTCGGCGTAAACTAACAAATGCGAAACGAGCCCCTTGTATTCGTGCTGAGATTTCGTCAGAGATCAGCCCGTTGGCACTGGCTGATGGTACTTCCCAAATAAGTGAAGCGGTCAACGTGCTCTACCACTTCACTTCCTATTTTTAAACTAGGCGTCGATGTAGTCCAGTCCTGTAACATCATCTTGCATTTAGCTGGAGCGAATCACATGTCAAACATTCGCAGATTGCGGCTCAAGGTGTTTAGAAGACTCTGCATTTCGTCAGAGTCGTCGCCTAGGAGGACTACATCGTCTGCATATTCTAAGTCAACGAGATTATTCCCTGGTAGCAAGTCAATCCCTGAGTCGCTGAAGTCACCTAGGGTTAAGTCCATTAACACAGCTATGATGAAGTTGAATAGAAAAGGGGATAATGGGCATCCTTGTCGGACACCACTGGTCGTCATCAGTTCAGATGACAGCTCGCCGTAAGCCGTCACCTGGCTGTATGAGTACGAGTAGAGTGCCTTAATCAGTGCAATGTATTTCTCGGCATTACGTTTACAGATGGATACGTATTTCTGAAGCTATATGTTCCAATCAAAGTATGCATAAGAATAAAAGTGTTTGTCTAAAATTGTACCACCTAAAACGGTAGAACGAATCAGTGAAAATTGTTACATGTTGAAACAACAACAATACATCTGAAAGAAGCTAGGTAATTTTTATTTCAAGGTAACGCATAGCAAACAGTCAACCCACCATTCTATTACTTGTTGATAGCAAAAGCTTTGAAGCGTCTGATCTATTTATATTATGCTGGTAGGCATTTGCGAAAATACAGTGAAATTGTTTGAAAAAATAAAAATCCACTTTACGTATTTAGTATTTTTAAAGAAGGGAAGTGTATCTTGCTTATGATAAATACAAATTCATATGGAAATGTGTAAACATTATGCTTGATTGCATGGAGGATTTCATCATGAGCTGACATCAGTTAGAGAACCACTGGAAAACCTGGGTGTACTGGACAGCTGTTTCGTCCTAGTTTAGGAATCTTCAACAGTATGCACCCACTGAGGTTCCAACCCAGGACCTTCTGGTTACAAGTTGAGCTCGTAGACCATTGAGCTACTGGGACCCGATCCAATGGTGAAATCCTCCATGCAATCAAACAAAATCCCTACAAATCCAATACTTGAAAAGATTATACTTGTTAAATGAATTCGTTTGGTGATGTAATTTGTGACAAAACATTTTGTAAGAGTGTTGCATTTGCAATTGTTTAGTAATCAATTGTCAATCACTCTCCTAATGTAAGATTTATTTAATAATGAGGGAAATAATACGGAAGATTTATAGCTCAGATCGATTTAATTGCGAAGCTTTCAATGTCTTCCCAGGCAACGTTTTCAACGCAACCTATAATATGAAGTGAATTTATGTCTTGCATTTGCTTTTAACTAGAATTCCTCAGTATTAACCTGTGTAAAATAGTTTCCACCTCTTCTTTCTTAATAATAATGTAACTGAAGTTTTATTTTAATTTTTGTCATTTTTTAGGCGCCCTTGAAGGTCTTTGTGCTGTTGGTATGTGTCGACATGATCATTTCTCAAATCTTAGTTCAATGCGACCGAAATCTATGCATCAACGTCCTTTAGGTGAACATTTATCTAATGGTGAATTCAGGAAATCGCATTCACAAGAATCAGATATGTTAGGTATGTGTTTATGTGTTGATTAGTATGTGTGATGAGTGCGATTTTCTCATTTACTTCTACAGTAGCGAAATTTCGTTCATTATTAAATAATCGTAATAATAATAGCTTTATTCTGAATTTTTTACATAATGCGCAGAATTTTCTGCTGGGTTTATTGTATAATAGTTTCTCTTTGTCCAAGATCTTTAAATAAAGTAGTAGTTGACAGTTGATCGCATGACACACTACTGTCTGATCCGAAACGTAAACCCAATCCCGCATGATTTCTCCTCTTTGTATCCTTCGAGAAATGCACGACATTTAGGTTTGGGAATTATATTTCAAGACCCAAGAATATAATTTCATAAGTGAAAATCGTGGATGTTTAGTTTTATTTCTTGAGCAGTGGTAGTTTGTATCAAAAATTTTTTGAAACAGTTATCTCCTGTATGGGAGGTTTGGTTGGGAACTTGTGAGTCGGAAGACTTTTTCCCTCGATGCTGTCAAACATTATATAGTTTTATTTCTGGTGAAGGTTTTTAAGAAGCAATCTTTCTGGTTGGATATTCGTTTTCGATAAACATCCAATCTCCAAGATCTTCTTTGACAGGGAATCTACTCAATTCTTTTCATTATTTAGATTACAGGATTCGGATTAATTTAATTGCAGTTGTTCGATTATCTAATGAACAGCAACATCACTTAGAGAGATTATTGGAAGCGAGGGAATACTGGACGGCTTTTCCGCCATAATTTGTGACTCGAGCGGTGCTCACACATGACCCTACGTAGGATTGAACCTGGGACCTTCAGGTTACGAGACCAAACTCGGCTGGCCATTCAGTAGCCACTTGGGCCAGAATTCAATTACTCTAGAATTCCAACTTTGTCATGGTGGGACATATTGGTCTCAACTTCCCAATACAGCTCCAGGATATCCATCCTCTGTAGTCACCAATGAACTGGAGATCATATCATCATATATTATTATTCCCTTGAGTTCCGCGAGGAGCATAGGGCTTCAACAACACATCTCCACTTTGTTCTATTTTCTGCCGTCCTCTTCAGATGGGTCCACGATTACCCATAATCTCCCGTCTCCTCGAACTCCCACGATCTCCTCCACGTCACCCTCACAATGACTACAGAGCAGAATGATTCGACATACTTATCAAGAATGTTCGAAGAGTATATGTTGTTCTTCAGAAATAGAAGAAACAAATTGCAGCATGTTTGTTTTCGATTTCAGTGCATATCTTCAACTACTCAGTCACATGATCTCTCGTACGCTATCCTGATTGACTGACATCTAGAGGGGCGTTATTCATCAATATATATATATATATATATATATATATATATATATATGCCAACGTAAAACGATTATGCTTCATTCTCTGGCGTTATTTTATGACGTTTTCGCCTTCTCAACAAGTCAGAGGGCTAGGAAAAGTAAACTCCGTAACTGATAGTTCATTCACTTTGGAAGCATTTAGAAAGTTCAGTCACAATTGATTTCAAATAGATTTTTGTTAGACCCTTAAGTAGTTGGAATGTAGCAGTGATAGTATATTCTTAACGAATATAGGTGATTCTGCTGAGGGAATGTGAAAAATTTCTATACATAGGAGTAGGTTCATCAAGACAACAAATGACAATAATTGAATATCCGTATAATCTCTACCTGTCAGAGTGAAAGGAGATACTTTCAAGATATACTGTCAAGAATCAAGCTTTACGGGAAGTTAATAATTATTTTTAAAAATATAGTTCTCATGTTCTAGCAGAGCTAATTGATGTAGAAATAAGGCTTGAGCTTTCTGATAAATAATACTGTGTCGTGGTGTAGTATTTCAGGCAAAATTATCCTATCGTGGGATCTAAAACAAGCCTGTTTCGATAAACTTGCATTCTGTGACAATTCTTTACTAAATATTCACATTATATTAGGCTAAACTGGTATTCTAAATGGATAAAAATATATATAAAGTGCTGGTTTACAAGGATTTGATTGGTTATATGTTGGATCATGAATTGAAATCAGTCAGAGAACTATTGGTAAACTAGGGAGTACTGAATAACTGTTTCGTCCTACTTTGGGACTCTTCAGCGCTACCCATCCACTGGGGTTCAAGTCCAGGACCTTCTGGTTGCAAGGCGAATTTGTAGGGCATTCAGCCACTGATTCCCAATCCAATGCGTGACCCATGAATTAAAAATTCTGACGATTCGGGATATTTATATTACGAAACTGCCAACCAATGTCATTGGCGAGTAACTGCTCTCCTACCTAATTTTGTGCATCTCACTAGTTAAGACTTCTCGCCTAGAACTCCAGGTGACTTGAGATCTACCTCGTCATTAGGAGAATAGTTGCTTGCCAATAATACTGGCTGGCGGCTATTGAAAGATATGGCCATTGAAAGTGGAAGATATGAAAGACCTGGCTATCTGTCTTTGACCATAGGTGCATGAGTTCTTCCTCCCGTGTTAAGTGGTATAATAGGGTGAGCAAGATTGAGGTTAGGCATAGGTTGAATTTGTTTAGTAAGGAGGGAAAATCAGTCGACGAGGTTGTCAAGTTACATTGATTAAGATGGTTAGGCCATGTGTTGTCACGCATGCCTAGCCAACGTCTTACTCGACCAATAGGGTGATGTTAGTTGACAATAGGTTCATGTTTGGAAAGAGTTGGCTAGTTATGGTCAAACCAAAAAAAATGGCTTCATCAATCAATGACATCCACAACAGTTACATTAAGCCAACCACTTAGGGAGATGTAGACTACTGTCTGTCTCGAGACAGTAAAAACCCATGGCTGTAATAATAGCTCAAAGTCGTCGTTGTCAATAGCGCAGATGCTTTCACTCTTTGTGATTTATCATAACCAATAAAACTCTATTAATCTTACATATTATCTCTGTTTTGAATCTCTCTTCACTCTCGTATCTTGTTCTGTGTGGTGCATGGAGGGAGTGTGGCGACTCGAACTGCTACACATCTGTGCAAAGTTGTACGTTGAAACCAGTCAGTCAGATTGTGTTCTCTGAACTGGATGATTTAATCGCGAAACTCAGAGAACTTAACCACATCAGAAGGAGATTCTATTTGTGTCAATTTTTTATTTTCATATCTGTACAGTCGTCTTAATGTGTATGAGTTAGAATAACAAATAACAAGTAGGATTGTTGTGTAGGGAATGAAAAATCTTCCACTTAGTGGAAATATTTGAAGTGTGCTAGTTTTGGTGGTTTAGATGATTATAAATTCTTAATTAATTAGAAATAAGATTGGGGATAAAGGAAAGGTCAACATAAAGTACAATATACATGAGTAAATGGATGAAAGGGCAATAGTTTTTTTTTAGAAAGATTAATGCGAATTGTTATTATGTGAATTTGTAAGGCTAAATGGTGTAACACAGTAGGAGAATAATATGAATGAACTCTTTTGTCAATAAAGAAAATAATATAAACGGAGATATTAAAATGTTATGGCTTTTAAGTGGTATAAAGTGAAGCAATATGGAATAAGGTGGACATGATGCTTTATGAATTAAACATAGAGTTTTACCTTTGTTTATTTTTTTTCGGTATTGCCAGAGCTTCGCTACGCAAATTACATACAGTTTGGCATCTTTAGGCAAATTTTGTAGAATCTTGTAGACAATGTTGTGAAGAAGCCATCAGAGACTATCTGTTCATCACCCCTACTACATGTTTTTATTTATGACTCCACTTTCTCCTTTACTCAGCCAACCTGGAAGCTTCTCTTATACATGACAGGGTATGTACCTTGTTTCACAAGAGTAGGGGAACATATCAATGCACATGGAATTAGTCAAACAAAGTGACATTCCTTTAAAACTAACCATGTGATTATTCTTTCCCTCATACATTTCTGCGTCGGTGGCACAGTGGTTAGGACTCTCGCCGACCATGCACATGGTCCGGGGTTCGAGCCCATCCCGACGCACACCTGATATCTATGGTCGACCTGCGAATTTTGGGCTACCGATATCCACGCTGAAAATTCCATACTTGTACCGAAAATACAGTGTGGAATCAAGCTGTAATCAAAAATAAAAATAAATTATAGATCCTTTGAATCTCTCGATTCCCCTCTCCCTCCCCCGTTTATCTACCTTGAGTGCTACATGTAATATGGCGAATTGAACTGGTGAACTTATGTGCTAAGTCGTGTTAAAACTCAGTCAAATATGGGGACTTCGTGGGTTTAGGAGATCACATACACTGAATGCATCTGCACCACTTAGAACGACCTTGACCCGCATCACAAAAACGTACATTAATGGATGGTTTGAGCAAAGTTATTCATATATTAAGGCGGCAAGAAGTGTTTTCTTTATTTATTTCATTAAATTTTTCTCGTGACCTGTAGGGTGCAGCAGGTTGCATGTGAGGACAAATACTTGCCGAAGACATTGGCTTGGGGCCGCGCTATGTCTTGAATTGGCAGAAGTTAGAATTCATGGGCCATTGGATCGGGTCTCAGTGGCTTAATGGTCTACAAGCTCGCTAGCCTTGTAACCGGAAGGTCCTGGGTTCGAACCCCGTTGACGGGTGCGTACTGCTGAAGAGTTCTTAACGAGGACGAAACAGCTGGCTGTCCAGTATCCCCTGTTTGTTTTCCAATGGTTCTCTAACTAATGTCAGCTCATGATGAAATCCTGTAACCAATCAAATCCCTACAAACCAACACTTGAAAATCTTTCTCTTGTAAAATGAAACTAAGACACTCCATATATCTTGTTTTCTTAGTTCTGTCTATCAGATAACTAGTTTGAAGGAAAGTTGATTTCCGCACAATCCTCATTTTTTGATGTGCAAAGGGGTATATTGTGAACAGTTTTACATTGATTTATACGTGATATAATATTTTCAAGTTGTTTTTTTGTTTTGTATACCTGTATTTTGTTTCTGTATCCTTTAGAACACTCTACATCTTCAAGTCTAGATTTGGCCTCATCGAAATCTCATCATCCTATTATCATATCATCTACTGATTGCTGTAATTATGCTTTGGAGACAATGGAGTTGTATAATAAGGTATAAAATGCCATTGGTAAAAGTATTTCTTATCAATAATATCACTGTTATATGTGTTATGAGTGTAATGCTATATGTGTCTATACATATGCACAGTGTATCTCAATGTTTCTGATAGCTTATTTCTAACTTGCAAACTACCTTGGTTAGAAAATCTACGTGTGTTTACATAGCTTAGGCCAACTGTTAGGTTCCAGTGGCTTAATGGTTTACAAGCTGGCCTGTGACTGGTCAGTTCTAGGTTCGAATTCCTGTAGGTGCGTACTGATGAAGAATCGGTGGTTCAGCGGTGGAGATATCATCAACCCCATGTGTAGTCTGAGGTTCAATTCCCGACCGACGCACTCCTAAACCTCGTTAAGCTGGTAGTAAGGCCACTAAAGAGGGAAGGTTGGACGTGGGACTAACAACCTCACCACCAAAAATAAAACAAATAAAATCCACTGCTGCTGAAACTTCAAAGCTGTGGCTAAAATCCCTATGTTCCACTAGGAGGTAAATGAATAGAAACAGTAAGACCAGCTGACATTTGCTCTCATATTTAGGGTGCTTATTGGTTTAGGCCTCCCGTTGGCATACTGAGAACGTCTCATACCTACCTTAGCAAACATTGTCTATGTTGTATTTTAGTTTTCCCTTTTTGCTGTTGTCTAATTTCAACGGAATTAACTATAATATAAGTGTATTCAAGTACTCCTAGCAAAATTTATGATTGGAAGCGTATTACCTCCAAATGCCAATCATGTTTCAAAACTTATACTATGATTAAGCGAACTGGTTCACCTTTTTGGTAGGTATTCCAATATCACCCTGACAAAGTCATGTAGGTTTTTTTATCCATACCAACTTCTTGTTACTCACCACATCAGTAAGACTGTTACAGCGGTATTTCATTCAAGTTGTTAGATATTGGTGACAGCTTCATCAAATGTTCGCTTCCTTCCATTCAGTTTCTTTAAAAATTCTAAACAGTAGTCAAATATTGTCTAGTTTTAATCCATTCTGTTCTTTGGTTTATACCCATTCACCACTGAAGTCGGTTGGTAATTCAGACTACTATCTATATTTCTAAAAAGTAGACATTAATCACTCTGACTTTCTTCTCATTATTTAGTCTCAGCAAGATGACAAAATCTATTGTCGTCTTAGTTTAAGTCCAATAACTGACAACATTTTAATACTTTTTATTCCTTTTGTGTTCTGTGTGGGATATATGTCAGTGATGTTTCTTTCCACAGGGTGGGGTCGCTAGTCTCCTGTCCAACCTTCGCCCCTCACCAGGTTAAGTGAGGGATAGGCGTATGTCGACTGGGGATTGAACCCCGAACCACCTGTGTGGTTGGCGAGTATTCAGCCACTAAATCACTGATATTCATTGGATGTGACCTCAGGTGACATAATATGTTTAGCTATTTCTTTTTTACTTTACTGTGTGGAGTTGCCACAACTGAAACTAAAGCTTCTCTGTTTAAAGTTGTACATTCATCCTTGGAAAAAATAGATAAGGATCCTGCGGTATTTTCACATTAGAATGATAATTTGCAAATGCTCTTCGAGATTTTGTATTTGATTGTTAATTCTTATAGGTACTGTTTAAAATAATGAGATATATTTCGTGTCACTAAGCAATGGTAGTGGCTACTAACTAGAACCCAGTCAATCAGTGCACATTCAGTTACCCGTCTGCTACCGAAATCTAGTTTTACAGACGCAAAAATGCGCTTCTGTTGGCTAACATTGTTAGTAGTTGCGAGAAAATTACTGAAACCATAGTATTTATCACGGTATGAAATCACAAAAGTAAAGAAGGAAACAGACATTCAGAATCTTTAGGAGGGAATTAATATATCAGGGATTCATCGTTTTGATATCCTTTCGAAACCTTGAAGGTGGTACTGCTTTGTGACTGAGCAGTCAAGTAACGTCCATGTGTTGTATGTCACACAGAGTAGTTTTGGGTCAATGTTTATAACTTCTTACCATTTACAATTAAAAACCTGAATATGAAATGAAATCTTTCATTCTTTGCTAAATCCTTCTTCACAGAATGAGAGAACAGCACTGTTGGTATGGTGATCACTCTCTCTGTCTCTCTATTTCTCTCCCCCACATTGTTGACTGATTGTAATGTATCTTTGTTTTAAGATGCATTATCCAAGTAGAAAATTATTTTGCATTTTTGTCATGGTGTATACTTTTAGGTTGTATTTTTATCCTACAAAGTAGGATTTTAGTATATACTTGTAGCTGTAATTGATATGAACTGTGATCAAGATTTGACCGGATAGTTGTAAATGTCTTGTAGCTGTAGTTTAAATATCTTCTAAACGTACTAGTTTTGCATATTCATGATTCATCTTAAGCATTTCTTCTTATATTATATATTTAGGTTGAATTAAATCCTTTTCTTTTCGAAGAGTTCAAGTTTAAGGTGATTCGTTTACTTATCACTGAATCAGTAAGTTTTTTTAAATAAAATAATTTAAGGCTTATAATTCATGATTTTAATTAATTATATTATTCATCATTTATATTTGATTTAAATTGAATGTGAATAAGTATGTTTGATAGTATCATGCATTGTCCAGATTAGTGATTAAATCTCTAAACTGTAGGGTGAAATAGTATAATACTGCGTTTGGTAACATAAAAAATACAATAGACTCAAAGTTGTGTCAGTCTTAAAATGCTTACTCCTTGTCTCAATTAGTATATAGTTTAAGGTGCAGATGTGGTTTATCAGTATGGATGGTCGACATTCAACTGATGGGCCAAAGGCTCGAGCCCTTTTTCACGAGCCGAGGTTTGAGCAGCTCTGGGTAGTATCATGGTGAGAGCTGTCTGAAAGCCAAAGTTGTATTCAACAATTTACGTCACTGTTTACGTCCTGAATCGAGGTCAAGAGAGAAAACAAGAACAAAGCGAAAACTTGAGGAACTCAACAACCATTCACAGCAGACTTAACGTGGGTAGGTACGAGTCGTAGACCGGACTGTCTAAGAAACGGCCATAAAGAGATGGCGGAATAACCTTCAGCACGAAAACAACCAATCAGAAGACGTTACCTCTCTGCTAACAATAACGAACAGTAATGTACATAAAAATCTATAAATATATGTTGATTTTCTCAATAAACGATCTGTTCCCTGGCGCTTGTCTTCTGTCGTTACAGTATAATCAGCCCTTATACAGTAAGTAGGTTCGGTTTATTGCCAACTGCATGCAATTGCAAGTGGTTATTGAGTAACGCTTCTATGGTGTTTAAGACTCTTATGAAATTGATTAAGGGACAAATTAAGATTTTTTTAGTAATTATCGTAACCGACTACTTACATGTGCTTAAAACTAACTGCGAGCACTAATGACATCGAATTTCGTAGCAAGTTTGCTGCATTAAATAGTTCATGTGTGTTAAAGACTTTGTAAGGTGTGTGTTATTGTGATCCCTCCCGGTTGAAAAATTATTGTATGCAATCTTGTCTGACAAGGAATCGTGTATAATACGATAATCAAGTCCCTGTATATAGCTGCTTCATATAGATCCAGATGTTTATAAAACATGTATACCTTACACATAATTTGTGGATTTGTATTAATGGTTAGTGAATTCATTTCATACATGGCTTCTCATCATTCATCATTAAAAAAGCATATTATTTTATTGAGCCAATATCTTTTCATCGTAGATTCTTTAAATCTGTGTAGAGTTAACTTTTTTGTTTTATAACTCATTTACTTACTGTTCAATATTGAGTTTGTTCGAAATAGCACGTTTTAGGCATTCTAGAGGAATAAACAAGCTAGCAATATTATTAACTTGTAATAATGATCTAATTACAATGATATATTTATAGACAGTTAATTGTCCACTAAAATTATTCAACTTTCACTTGCAATTCTATCCATTTGGTAATGAAGCACATTTATTGTGTGAGGGCTGGTTATACTACCCGGGGCTGGCCAAACCTCGATCTGTGGAGTGGAGTGAGGTTCTAACCCTTCAGCCACCAGCACCTAGACCGATGAGCCACAGCTCCACACTATGTTAAAGAGTACTGTATCACTGTGTGATATGTTAAATCGAATTGCAAACCTAACTGATGGAATTCAGTCTGCACCATACAAAGGACTACACACATCACACTAGTTACTAATTAGTGTACAATCAAAGTATCCATTACAGTCCTACAGGAGGTCAATCGCGAGTCCAAATAGCTCACTGGTGACGCGGATTCAAATCTCAGAAGGGACATGCGTTCCTTCAACGTTGCAGATACACCTTGCTCACTGGTGGAGTGCTAACTAGCATGAAACCTTGGTCATGTAGGGCTTCCTGCCGATTATCTCCGACCATCTAACATAAATATAAAAAATTTAATATGACGTAGTTTGGTGGATGGTGACAAGCAGTGGAATCCAGGATGCTCACTGCGTCCTATTTGGATTTCGTCAGTTGAATGTACCTGCGTTCTCCAGTGAGTGATGGTGTTCCCTCTGAGACTCTAACCCAGTACCCATCGTTTTAAACACCGAAGTGTTATCCACTGGAACACAAGAGCCACCTCTTGTGCAACGAGCATTAGTTATTATTTGTTTCTAATTCACTTTTGATTTTCCCGTTTCAAATGATGGCTACTGAGATCGAGTTCTAGTGTGAGGACTATCACTCACTGAAGAATTCAGGTACATCCAATCGGCGAGTCCAGAATAGGATAAAATTCGTATCGTGGATTCCATTGCTTGTCATTATCCACCAAACTACCTCAAATTAATCTTTAGACATCATCGAAGCGTCTGTATTAGAAGCCAATATGTTAACAGAAGACCGAACATCTCAGTAGAATCAATCAACGAGAAAGTCAAAAATTCAAATAAAAACCAAAAATTTAAAATGAAATTAAATTCACTTATGGTAACCAGTGTTCTGTCTACTCTCACATATACCACCACCTAACTACTTGTATGACAAAGCAGACTTTTATCATTAACTTCATTGAATTAATTCACAAACGTGAATTAAGACTAATTATAATCCTTTTTTCTAAAGATGATAACACGTTTGTACATTTATAATAAGAAAGTATGAATTGATTTATATCATGTGGTGGTTACGGTTTTTTTTTGCTCTGTTTTCTCCTTCTTTTGAGTTTCGTTAAGAAGAAAAGAAAAAAGCTATTGCTGAGAGTACTTTCTTTTTTTTTATTTCTTCATCTGTTTGTCTGTCTGTCTACCTATCCATTTATTTTTCTCTTTTTTCAAGCAAAAACGTAAAGCCTGTGAAATTCTTGATTCATTGATCACATCATCTCTTTCCAGATTTTGTCCAGAGGTAAGTTGATATCAATATAAGACTACTAATCCTGCTATTCACATTGTAATTGAAATGATTGAAATTCCCCCTTTATGTTCTCAATTGTTGGTCTGTAGGGATTTAATTGGTTACTGGTTTGATCACGGATTTATATCAATTAGAGAACTAATGGAAATCAGCAGGGAGTACTGGACAACTGTTTCGTCCTAATTTGCGACTCTTCAATAGTACGCACCCATCAGGGTTTGACTCTCTAGGGCTTTCCGGTTACGGTTACAAAGCGAGCTCGTGGAGTATTCAGTTAGTGAAACCTGATTCAATTGTCCATGAATTCCAAATTGTACTACTCCGTAAATGTCATAATGGAAGAATATGGCTTCAAAAAAGGATGAAAACTGTTTGATGTTCCTTTAAATGCTACGTGTATAGATGTCAGTGTTTGATCAATCTGTATGTGGGCTATACCAGCACTTTTTCGCATATAGAGAGCCTGTATCAAGTGTAAAGTGTTGATGAGAGATCAATTAGCCTCATGGATGAAACAAAGATAAATTGAACTAGTTCCATACTAGAACTGGAAAATAAAGACTGAACTAATTTTACCATGATCAGTATGTTAGTTAGTGCTAAACAAAACAGTCTGTCTACTTCATGTGTTGATTGATGTCTGGTGTTATTAGTGAACACTAACTTTCGAAGTAGCATGTGAGCGGCGATGTAGCTCATTGGCCTACGTACTTGGTTTCCAGTCACTGGGTCATGGGTTTGAGTCCAGTTTCACCTGATTCAGCCTGAACAACTAAATGGGTCGCACCAATGACCCTCACACCATAAGTGTAGTTCTTGACCTGGTACGTGAAAAAGTTTTTCCGGATAACTGAACTCAAACAAAGCAGTAATACTCGAAGTTGAGACAAAACGGTGATATAATCGGACCATAGATTGCGCTCACGGTTGGAAGTAATATCAAACCTCTCCTTGTAACCAAAAGGTCCTGGGTTCGAACCACAGTGAGTACGCACTGATGAAGAGTCCCGAACTAGGATTAAACAGTTGTCCATTACTCTCAAGTTTTCCAGTGGTTCTCTAACCAATATGAGCTCATGATGAAATCCTGTAACAAACATCAAACAATTTTTTCTCACTCTACATTCAGTATGTGTATGAAATCGCCTTACGTCTGATATTTTTTAAGTAAGGAGAAACTTTCACTCATGTATGTATATTAGGTGATCCAGAATTCAGTCAATTTGGTTTCAAATCACAAGGCAGTTGTGGAGCCAGCTACCCTAAATGTACTGTAAAGGACAGGATGAAATGAATGGAGATGTATGTGCTTTTTGTGAAGGCCTATGTTCTACTTGGAACCCAAGAGTATAATGAGGATACAGGGGATTGTGTGGTATACTTTGATTAACTGTTTGATCAAGTGCATAGTTTTCTTTTACTCCTACTCTATGTTATATCTATTCTAGAATGAAAAATGTATTTATCTTGTAAAGGACTTAGACGTACACACAATGTGGTATAATATGGGCACGAAGAAGATACACCAAATACTAATAATTAAACAGCGATGTACAACTAAAATAGGGGAAGAATGAATTAAAGGACTTCATCTAGAACGGAAGCAAGTATATTTGAGAAGATTAAACTACATTTGTCGTATCACTGTCGGGAAGGGAAGAAAGTAGGAAATCGCAGCATATTTGTCTTTGATTGCGATTCTTTTCCATATTTGATAACGTTTCAAGCCTCTAATTTAAACCATCTCTTGGACCCCAACCAGGGAGTTGTTATGTGTCAGCTGATGCCAATCTAACACAAATACCCTTCATCATGCTACGTCACGTCACGGGGCTGACCATCCCGTCCAAACTTTTCCATCCAATCCCAGAGCTAGCGAACAGCCTGTAGGGTGACATTTGTATCACACATCCAAACCACCAAACTCGGTGTTTCCATATGACGATACTCAAAGAATGGTGATCACCAGTGTGTCCAAAAAACCAGCTGCCGGATCTCAGAATTACTCATACAATGACGCCGTTGAACGCAAGCGATTCTACAAAGACAGCGATGACCGGAGGTGTGGAACGGCCACACATCCTCAGCTTGGCGAGGATGGGTTTCAAGTCCAATATGAGACTGTGGTTTGCTGGGTGCCTCATCTCAGGGGAGAGCATATACCCATCAATGGTATTGGTAGATGGTAGTTAAAGTTCCCACTTCATTGGATCCCAACCCAGTGGCGGAATAGTCAACAAGTTGGTTTTATTACCTGAAGGTTCTGTGTCCAACTCCTGATTGAGTCCTGGGCGTTTAACTTCTAAAACAAATCTCAAACTAGGGTGAAGAAGCTGTCCAGTACTTCCTCGTCTTTCTTTACCCGGTTTTGACTTGTGACGAAATCAAACCCAAAATAGGAGTATGAAATAGAAGTCAGGATAGGAGAAACTATTTATTTAATAATCACTTAAATTTATCACAAATTAATAATGAAATGTTATTTTATTTTTTTATTTTTCTGCCCCTTATAGGATCCATGTTCAGTTAAACGTTACCTGACTATTGTTAATTTGTATAAAGCAATGAATTTTAATCGTAAGGCTAGTTTAGCTCTTTGGCTTTTAACTGGACCGCATAATTTGAATCTTGTTGACTTTGAACATGATACTCTATTAACTGGTTTAAAAATTCAATCACCTTATTCGCCTAATTTTACTCAAATACCACCGACAGATACAAAATTACTCAGCAATGATAATGGTAATAATAACAATAACTGTAAAGAGTTAATTTATTCACCGAATGAAAATCGACGTCCATCTAGTGCTATTTGTCGATTAATTACAAATCCACCATTATGGAGTCCATTGATTGTATTGAATCAGGTGAATAGTCCAACGCGTATCACAACTGCAACCACAAGCACATCTAATACAACAACAGGAACACTGATGCATACTGGAGGCGCTGGATTGAATACAACAACAACAACCACATCATCATCATTAACTGGTGTAATCAATAAATTTAAATCATTACATTATATTACACGTTATCTTAGTTCAACTTTAAACTCTCATTTGAATAATTTATATGCATCAAAATCATCAATACAATTTCGTTCAGTTGGTTGGTGTGAATTACAATTAAGTGTAATGCATTATTTTATAAATCAGTATAAAACAAATATTAATTTAGAAGATGCTTCAGAAATTTCCTGGGATAATGGATTAAAGCTTATTGGGTATGTGAGATTTTGAGTATTACCATTATTACTATTATTATTATTATTATTACTCTGAGTCCCTTGAGTTGGGATATATCACTGCAATAGCAGCACATCTGTATTTCACCCCTATCCTCTGCAGTCATTTTTGTTGTTGTTTAGTTGGCTCCGCGATTGCTTACACGCTTTTATTTCTTCACATTCAAATTGTCGTTTCCTGTTCGTGTGTGTGCGATGCCACTCAACCACCTCTTCAGCGGATGTTTAATCTATCTCCATTTTCTGTTGCATATATTTGTTGGCTGATAGCTTTTTTGGTTAATTCGTTATCAGTGTTTTCTGGTCATCCATTTGATTTTCAGTATGAAGATAGGACAGCTGTTGATGATAGTCTTCAGCCAACTGTTGGAAATGCTTATGATGACGCACCAAGTCTTTGAACTATATCGAGAGTCACTAATTTGACATTAGGTGTTGAAAATTCAGATCTTATTCCTTATGCTAAATGCCATGGATCTCCACTATATATGTTTGATGTTACTTTCAACAGTGAACGCAATCTATGGTCCGATTATATCACCGTTTTGTCTCAACTTCGAGTATTACTGCTTTGTTTGAGTTCAGTTATCCGGAAAAACTTTTTCACGTACCAGGTCGAGAACTACACTTATGGTGTGAGGGTCATTGGTACGACCCATTTAGTTGTTCAGGCTGAATCAGGTGAAACTGGACTCAAACCCATGACCCAGTGACTGGAAACCAAGTACGTAGGCCAATGAGCTACATCGCCGCTCACATGCTACTTCGAAAGTTAGTGTTCACTAATAACACCAGACATCAATCAACACATGAAGTAGACAGACTGTTTTGTTTAGCACTAACTAACATACTGATCATGGTAAAATTAGTTCAGTCTTTATTTTCCAGTTCTAGTATGGAACTAGTTCAATTTATCTTTGTTTCATCCATGAGGCTAATTGATCTCTCATCAACACTTTACACTTGATACAGGCTCTCTATATGCGAAAAAGTGCTGGTATAGCCCACATACAGATTGATCAAACACTGACATCTATACACGTAGCATTTAAAGGAACATCAAACAGTTTTCATCCTTTTTTGAAGCCATATTCTTCCATTATGACATTTACGGAGTAGTACAATTTGGAATTCATGGACAATTGAATCAGGTTTCACTAACTGAATACTCCACGAGCTCGCTTTGTAACCGTAACCTGAAAGCCATGGAGTCAAACCCCGTTGGGTGCGTAGTATCGAAGAGTCTGAAACTAGGACGAAACAGTTATCCAGTATTCCTTAGATTTCCATTGGTTCTCTCTAACTGATATCAATCCGTGATCTAACCTGAGATTTATTTAATCTTCACCTCGTATTTCTGTCCTAATTTAGCATATAATGCATCCTATAAAGAACAGTTTTGTACCTATGGGAACAATTTCATGCTTTCAGTGCGGTGCATTCACGTTCTCTACATTTAAGAAAAAAATTTTCGACTTCTTAGGCTTATTAATGAAGGGACTTCTAAAAGTATTATGGTAAATAAAACAATCTCCAGAAGGGATGGGACTTCAACATAACATATCAGGAGAAATAACTGGAAGATTAATTAGAATATTATTGAAGAGCAGTGCAACTGCTCCACTATCCATCCAACCTCAGTCTGATTGGAATGTAGACATCGGTTATACAAATATTTTTGAGGTTGGAAAAGGTGTTTCTAATTGAAGTTCAAGCAAATCACGAGGAATTGCTGGACTGACTCAAGGAGAGTTTTAAAGATAATGGTGGTGATTTTGCTGGATAGATGAACAGTTGGAGGGTGGTGGGGTTTATTAGCACTAGTATATTGAAACTTGAGATAACTGTTGACTGTTTATGTGTTAAATGTAAAACTTTGCTACAGGATAAATGTGAAGTGACTCCTAGTTTAATTATATGAAGTGATATGGTTGGAATATGTTAACTATTCTACTTATTTGGAGAGTTTCAGCACACTTGATGAACTGATTTCTGAAGGAACCTCCACGTCACATTTATTGTCTTCGGTATACTCATGATATCTGGCAACCGGTTAATAGATGTGTGTGTGTGTATTGTTAAATAGTTTTCTTCATTTTACTTTTCGATTGTGAGACATTGATTACTGAAGGTGAAAAATTGAAAAGGTTGGATGTTTTTAATAATTATGGAAAATTCGTTTAATTACCCAGTACAATCTAGTGAAGTTGCAAGTGTGGAGAAAGCTCGGTACCATCTTCGCTTCCTGAAAGCATTATAAACAGTGTTTGATTTTACAGCATTTTGTGGAGGTTTTCGAGAGCAGTAAAGATGATGTGGAAACTTGCAATTATGAAATAATTGAGGAGATTTGTATCTCGAATAGAGTGGTTTAATTGCCAAGCTTTCGTTATTTTCCTGGAGACCATCTTCAATGCAGATTTCATTATGAAGTGAACTGATTTGAATTCTCCATGAATAATATAATTCTATTAGTTTCACTTGAGTGTGACGTTCGCATAAGTCTTCTGTTTCTTATTGAAAACAAGGCAATAGAAGCTAACATGGTGTGATGTGGTATCACAATAAGTATTTAAGGAAATTAGTTGAGTGTGAAATTAACGTTGAATACTGGATTGACTTCCATTCAAGGCTAAATATAGATCATGTTAAAAGTTCGTATGACCACTGTTTTCAAATACATATTTCTAGAATTGTTACTGAGATTGCAAGCAAGAAATAACCTTGTAATATAAGTTAGGAGGTATCATTCTGCTCCCATATGAGTCATATTTTCCAGATCTTCGGCAAAATATAAGCAGTTATTTAACGAGGAGTATATTAAACGTTCAAAGCATGGAATGGCAATCAAACCTGTACCTCAACTTTATACCCTTTGAGAACGCCTTCGAGAGCGTTGATCGCGTAGTAATTTGAAAACTACTCGAGTGCTACGGCGTACCAAAATTATTCATCAACCTTAATCAACAGCTGTACGACAACGGCACATATCAAGTGATCCACAACGGAAAACTCAGCTAGGTGTTTGGAGTAAACACGGGAGTCGGTCACAGAAGGGTGCTTATTATCACCAATGATATTCCTAATTGTGGTGGACTGTATTATGCCTCAGACAGTGGGAAATGAGAAGACAGGAATATCCTGGACCGACTCGAAGAACCTAGAAGACCTGGATTTCGCGCATGGATGATTTATGTTTGATGTCACACACAATCGAAGACTTACAAGCGAAAACTGACCGACAAACTGGTCGAAGAAGCAGCCGGAAAAGACAGGACTCCATGTGAACATGGACAAGACTGAGGTTATGAAAATAACCACCATCACCACCCACAACAACAGCAACATCCAACGCCAATCGCCATCAACGGGAGGGATTTGATAGAGGTTACTTCATTCACTTATCTTATCTAGGGAGCATTGTCTCAACTACAGGAAGTCGGAACGGACGAGGATGTCAAATCGAGCGAGAATCGGGAAGGGAGGCGGGAAACACATTCATCAACCGGAAACCAATCTGAAAATCTTCGTCACTCAGCCAGGATCAACAACAAAATTCGGTTGGATTTTCAATACAAACCACGTCAAGTCAGTCAGTTCTTCTATACGGATGAGAAACTTGGCGGGCGGGTGGGTCACAAAGAATATCTCCAACAGCCTGTTGCAGACCTTTATCAACCAACAACTGTCTTCACTGGATTTATACTGAAGATCAGAAAGAAAGAATGACCAACAAGAAACTATGGCTGGGAACAAACAAGACAAGAACCAATCGCCAACCAACAAATATGCAGGAGAAAGTGGAGATGGATTGGACACTTGCTCTCTGAGGAGGCCACTGGGTGACATCGCGCGCGCGTCAGATCATTGGTCGAGTGGAACCAGACCGTAAGAGAAGCGGCGGCGAGTGGGATGTCAGTGCAAGAGTGACATGGAGGAGATGGTGTGAAGAGGAGTTGAAAGAGTATGGACTAACATGGATGGAGGTGAAAAGTACAGCAGAAGGAAGACAGAAGCAAGTGTGGAGACGTGGAGTTGAAGCCCTATGTTCCATTTGGAAACCAAGGAAACAATAATAATAACAATAATTATAATTCTTTATTCGAAACGTGTAGTGAATTCCCAAGTTAATCTGAGCTGTTTAATGATAACGGTGAAAAGGTAGATGTGTACGGCTGACTGACAAGAAATTTATTCGATAGCATTTAAAAAGCAGATTGCCTTCAACTGATATCTAATATCATCAAAGCAGATATACATTTTCGTAGCATTTTAGAAAAAAAGTATGTATGCTTGACATGGCTTACTGATGAATTACTGCTGTTATAATTGTTGTTAGTCGTATTTTGATGTTGACGGCATAAAATGGTTATGAATTTTCGAAAAAATGTCTTGTTAGTTCTAGGTATAACAATGTATTCTTTTATATATAAGAGATGAGTAATTCGTTTTAAATTGTTCTAATCGAATATTTTGACTACACATATCTTTTAAGTGACACGTATGTGCAATTAACTTTGAGGTGTGTGTGTGGGGGGGGGGGGGTGATGTATGTAAATATACATATTAGTGTTGCATTGTTTTTTCTAGACCAACTTAAAGCTTAATTTGAGTTAAACTAGTTTTTTTTCTTTTCCAATGTGTTTGGTTGTGACAGGAGTGGCGAGGACGTTTTATACTAGAACTCACAAAGCCTTGTTAGAGTTGATGGCGAGTTGTCATCTGAAGTGATGACAACCAGTGGTGTATGTCAGAGATATCCACTGTCCTCTATTTCTGATTAGTTTTATCATAGATGTACTAATGGAATCGGCCCTAACTGACTTTACCGACTTAGGAATTGACTTGTTACTAAAGAACAATCTTGTTGACTTAGAATATGCAGATCATGTAGCCCTTCTAGGTGAAGACGCTGACAAGATGGTGAATCTTATGAACACAGTCAGCAGGAATCTTTGGTATGCCATTTGCTCCTGTCAAATGTAAGATGACGCTACAGGACTGGACTGCAACGACTCTAAGCTTAAGGATAGAAAGTGAATTAGTAGAGTCTGTTTACTAGTTCACTTATTTGGGAACTACTACCACCCCGATGGACTGATTGCAAACGAAATCTCAGCATATATATAAAAAGCTGGTGTGATATTTGCCTACTTTTGTCATCTCTGGCTTAGATGCGATAACCAGCTGGTTACCGATTAAAGGGCGTGTGTGCTGCTCATCAGTTTGCTCTATCCTCCTTTATACCTGTAAGACATGGCCAATGAAAGTGGAAGTCCCGAGTAGGTTAGCTTTCTTTGATCATGTGTCTACATTCTCTCTCTCATATGAGGTAGTATAATAGCGTGATTAATATTAAGGTTAGGTGTCAAGTGTTAGGTAAAGAGGGAAAATCAATCGATGACGTTGTGAAGCTATACCGATTCAGGTGGTTAGGAGATGTATTACGCATCCCTAGACGCTGCCTTCCTCGATGGTCAATGTTAGCTGTCACAGGATTCGGTTAAAAAAGAGTTAGGTGTGGTCAAATCAGAAGTTAGTTCCAGTCCACGAAATCTTTGACATTTTACTTGAACCATGTAGGGATGTGTTGACTACCTAGATGATATCTTCAGGATTCTAAAAACTAATGACTGGATACCTTCAGTGATGTGGCTCAAAATTGTTCTCGATGATACAGATGCATTCAGCCTTCGTGATCTGACATATCTATTAAATCTTATTGTTTTTCCATGTTCCTATTCTTTTTCCATCACATTTCTGCTTATTATCGTCCTTTGGAATCTTTTTTTCTCTTTTTTTTCTCTTCTTGTGTGTTACATGGCGCGTGACAAGTCGAACTGCTTCACATCTGTGCAATGTTCCACGTTGAAACCAGTCAGTTAGTCAGTCGTACAAGTTTTTATCAGTGGCGAACACCTCAGTATTCTACATATGTAAATAACAAGTGTACGTCAGTGGCACAGCGGTTAAGACGTCCACCGACCATGCACATGGTCCGGGTTCGATCCACAGCCACCGACGCACTCCTTTACCTCGCTAAGCCAGAAATAAAGCTGGTAAAGGGGAAAGGTTGGGCATGGTGGGCTATCGACTCCATCCTGTAAAAATAAACACCACTGCTATAGAAACTTCAAGCTACTAGCTTGAATCCCTATGTTTCTGCTGGGAACGTGAAGGAATAAAAAGAAAGTAACAAGCAGTCTATATGCATTTTAAACTAATCAGTTATAATAACCTTTTCATAAAGATTGTTTTACCTTGTTACTTATTTGTTTATTATCGCTTAGTATTTGATCATTAGTTGAAAAACGCCTCTGAATGAATGGCTTATATATTATTCAGTCTCTAATTTAGGATCAGGAAAATCAATTTGTACTATTGATCCTGGTAAAATAGGTGTGGCTCATACTTTGATTTATACAATTTAGTAACATGGTTACATTAAATGTGGTTTAAAAGAAATTTCCATAAATAATCTTACGTTTATCGTAAAGCATTTAATTCAATTTTTTGTGTGGTTTTTGATAGGTAACATACATATATATACTACTTATAAAAATATTAGCATCTGACCGTTGGAATATTCTAAATTTTTATTCATTTTTACAGGTACTGTTTCTCGGTACTTGATAGTTGGCCTGAATATACAGATGAAGCAAGTTGTATATCATGCATGGATGATTTATGCCGTTTAGCTGTACTTCGTTGTCCTGACCAACCGGTTAGTGCACCTAGTATGACTATACTGAATTATCAATCGAGTGGGGGACGTTCTAGGCGATGGCCACGAAGTCATCGAGTAATGTACTCAAATGGTTATTATTCTTATTATTCGAATGGGAATAATGAAGGAATTCAAACCAGGGCTAATGAAAGACAAATGTTGGACTTGGTTGAAATACCAGTGCATCAACTACCACTAGTTCGGTAAGAATTATGCGATTTGATTTTTTCTCAAAGTTCTTCTTCTTAATATAGATTTAGTACAATCGCATGTTTATTATTATTAGTATTATTTATTATTCCTTTGCGTTCCTAGTGGAACATAGGGCTTCAACAACACATCTCCACTATGTTCTGTTTTCTACTGTCCTCTTCGATCAGCAAATGATTTGCCTTCCCTGAATCCGACTTGTTCCGGTGGATGGTGGAATTCTCCACCCAGTGCATCCTTTATTCTCTCTAGAATAACGTGAGTTAGTATTTTACTTGGCGTGTGGTCAAGAGCATTATTCCACACCAGTTCTTGCAGAGTGAGGCGTAAGTCGCCCTTCTTTGGCAGTTTGACAAGGTAGCCCTTCTTCCAGTCAGTAAGCGCCTTTCCTTCTTCCCGAACGTTTTGCAGTAATGAAGTGAGAACATCTGCCGTAATCTCTGGGGCCGTCTTCAGTGCTTCGGGAGGGATGCCGTCTGTTCCAGCTGCCTTCCCGAACTTCAGTAGCTTGATTGCACTCAGGTTTTCTGCTTTCGTTGGAGGAGTGGTGTCCACTAGCATTTTTGTGTGTGTGTGCGTTGTTGTCGCTGGTGGTGTTTCTGGGCGAATTGCCGGTGGTGGTGGTCGATTCAAGAATCCTCTAAAGTGATCATTCCATTGTTTGATTTATTCGTCCTCCTTGGTGATCAGGTGTGAAACAAGAACAGACTGAATTTTCACAAAGTGTGAAAGTTGCCTATGAAAAGTTACTAAATTAAGCAAGTTGTCCATGTACGACTAAAGTGTTTAGTTGAATTAACATATGCAGAATTTTTCTGGGATAAAGCATCTGTAGTCGTTCAGATAATTATCATTATCCCAAATATCTTTACTGACTTATGAAACCGGCTACGGATCACCGCAAAGTAAGTCTATGTTGACTGTTTCTAACTCTTCGACCCCAGAGTGGAGAGGCAGCTTAGATGACTTGCTAGTCCTTTGTGGGAAATAACTTACTGCTATTATATCCCTATTTGTCAGCAGTATGTCGTCTTTCTAAGACCCCCAAAACAAAGCGAGTAACTTACACTACGCTGGCCCCAGTGGGTGCGTACTGATGACGAGTCCCAAACTAGGACGAAACAGCTGTCCAGTACTCCCAGGTTTTCCAACGGTTCTGTAACTAACGTCAGCGCATAATAAAATCTTGAAACCATTATCTAACAACCTTTCTGATGTGACATGACCTTCAGGAACATTCGTTCCATCCGTTGGGTCATAGCTTCTCTAGACGCTCTTTTTTTAAGTACGTTCACTGTAACTTTTAGTCTCCCTGACTGAGTTAATTCTAAGTGAATTTGCTTGAGTTACTTTGTATGTCAGTAAACTTACTGACTAAATATAAAAGTCATAAATACTTTAATCTTAATTTGTATTCATTTCAGATCAATTATTATACCTCCATTACCAAGTCATTTGATACCTCATTCAATTTCTAAAAATGCAGCAGAAAGTGTAGTACCATTAAGTAAAAGTCGTGTAGTTGTTATTCGTGCTGACCGAAGCCAATCCAAACAACCTGAGACAGCATGCTCAGCAGAATTTACTAAACCTTCTGGTCCATTTGTTTATAATCCTTTCAAACTGACAGTCAAACTAATTTAAAAAATTCAAGTATGTTAATTACATTTCTTTCATTTAATTGAATTTGAGATTTTCCCATCGACTGATTGGATTGAAGTGCTCGGTCTCAGGTTAACATGTCGGCTTCTTGTGCAGATGCTCCGACGATGTCTGGGCATTTAATTAGAATTTAATTAGTGGATGAGGACTAACAGTGGAGGGATCCAGGATGCACATTTCGTCCTATTTGGGACTTCTCAGCTGGATGTACCTGCATTTCCCAGTGAGTGATGAAACTAAGGGCACTGGGTTCGAGCCTCGGTGGGAACATCATCACTCATTGGGAAGTGCAGGTACATCCAGCTGACGAGTCCCAAATAGGACGGAACGCATATCCTGGATTCCACTGCTAGTCACCATCCACAAATAAAATTATGCATTTCTTTCATGTTGAAATATATATTTTTTGTATAAAACATATACAACTAAACTGGCTATGGATACAGATGGAATTATTCATCTTTTTTTTTGGGGGGGGGAGAAAATTATATATAGTATCCTTCAGACAATACAATTGTATTCAGTTCATTTCGTGTATAGCATTGCGTGAATTTTACTTCTAAGATTTATTGTCTCTCAGTTTCTATGGTTTCTAAGCTTATCTTCTCTATTTTGAGTCAGTTTGCCTTGTTTCTTTTTCAATAACTTTTACTGATGAAAAATTAAACTTTAAAGACTTATATAGTGGAAATATGGGTTACGGCAGGATTCAATCCGGTGGCCTCCGAATTTTTTTGTCTGACTCTCTTCTCCAGCTGAGTTACGAAAACCAACTTCTGAAGAGGTTATCGTTTCAGTCGCAATCACCAAAGGACATTATTTACAAAACAAAAACTTGATTTATTGTGGGCACTAAGAGATACGCCATGCTTCTTACTAGTGTACTGTCCAGATATCCAGACAGAAGTAGACAGTTTTCTTAAGTAGCTATCCAGTGCCACTGGCTTTGAGGTCTAATCCACAAGGCAGTAGAGCAGCGTCAAGAGCTGTGTTCCCATGGTTGTCACTGCCCAAAGCAGGTTCATACATCATTATATCCGTTTGGATTTTGGAACCCATATATCACCATGGGTTTGGAATCAGGGCTATTCACTTCCCCTAGATAGACCTGCATGTTCACTAGTGCAATTACAAGCACCACACATCAGCTACAGATAATGCCTCTAGCTTTAGCGTGAATGACTGAGTCCCAACATAGAAGTTATCATAGAAGTGTAAAAGTCCAAGTCACCACAATCCATGTGACACACAAAGGGAAAAAAAGAGTCGGAAGGGTGATAATAAGCAGAAATGTGACGGAGAAAAATATTCACATGGGAAAACAACAGGGTTTCATTGGATATGACAGATCACAGAGTGTGGATGCATCTGTGTCGCTGAGAACAATTTTGTAGCCAAATCACCATTTGTCTCCAGCAATTGGTTCTTAGCATCTCGCGGACCCACAACCTGGCAGTAAATGAATGTTATAGTATCTGTCCGTCCATCGTCAAACTCCTTTTGTCAAGGTTGGTCTTCACCCTTTGAATCTTAGCACTACTGAAATTAGGAGAATATGAGCAGATTGCCATTTTACCACTTGTAAAGCTTCTTATTAACAGTTGCCGTTCTACTCTGAACTGTCTTATTTGCATATATATATATATATATATATATATATATATATATATATATATATATATATATATATACCTAAACCTTTTCTGATATCACCGTAATCTATAGTAGTTAGTCACTAGGTAAATTTGTTCTTTAGACTTACACATTCCGTTTTCCAGTTCAATGGTTTGAATCCAACGCATTGATTTCAATCGCATTAGCAGTGTGTTTTTGCTCTCGTTAACCTTTAGACAATAACATGTAGTTAAAAAAGTTACTTAATATATGCCTAAATATTTTTGTAACTTGACAGACGTAAATAAAAAAACATATTGTGAAAAGATCTAGTTTAATTTAGATATCAAATCAATCATTTTAATAATTTGATCTAGACGTCTGGAATTCTCATTGACTTGTTTAACGATAATTTCGCTGGTGATCATTCTTATTCTGTCTTCAGTTCAGGTTATGTGACTGACACTAGTACATAACATGTAAATAGTTAACTTAACTGGCAGCCTTTATATATCTTACAAAAATGGGTTGTTATTTTTGTGTGTGCAGAATATCATAGTTATTGCAACTTCATTCGAAGGCTTTTGTTCTTGTGTATGTGGAGGTGGGCGGCGGGTGGAGAGGGAGGTAGCTTAGTTTCTTTGTAACTTATCGGTAAATGCTTGACTAATTCAATGCATGGTGTAAATTTGGTTAGTCATTTCTGCTTTTTTTTCCTTTTTTTTTCTCTGGTGTTGCAGGAAAACTTTGAATAAGTGTCAGTGGCTTCAAGACTTTTTGTGAGTTTCGGGGTTTACATCTTCACAGCGTCTTCTTGAAAGTGAATCGTCTTCTGTAAGTTCAAATAAGAGCAGATTAATGCCATGGACTACATCGATTCAATTTCAAGAAGACGTTGTGAGGATGTAAACCTGAAACTCTCAAATAGTCTCAAAGCTACTGACACTTATTCACGTTTTCTTGCCACACCAAAGAAATACGTTTTCAACTACTCTAGTATATCATTAACTTCCATTTTTTTAATTGTTTTTTTATTTCTTAGCTGTTGATTGGGTTTGTGAAGAACCTGGATACATTGAGTTAATAGTTGATAACAAATTACCTATGGATCTAAGAATATCTGGTGTGGTAAGTGGATGTGACTATGAAGAAAACTTCCTGATGAAGTTTTATCTCATGATTTCTTGAATGTGGTAAAATCTGACGTGACTGTGGCTATGCGGTGGCCAAATCTAACGTGTCTCTGTCTGTCTGTTTTCGACATAGAACTTTGCACAAATGTGCGCCAGTTCAAGTCGCCACACTCCGTGTAGCACGCGAAGCAAGAGAAGGAAGTACAAGAAAAGCATAATAGAGGCAGTAAGCAGAGAGGTGAGACAAAAGAGTAATAACGAAGAACAAAACAGTTTCATTGGAGATCATAAGTCACAAGGAGTGGATGCATCTGCGCCACTGAGAACGATTTTGAGCCATGTCACCAATTGTTTCCAACCATTGATTTTTACCGTCTCGAGGACCCCAGCCTGGAAGTCTACACCTTCCTACGTGGCTTAGACCAACTGTTGTGGATTTCATTGACTGGTGGCCATGTTTTTGTTTGACCGCCGCTAGCTTTTTTCCAGCCTGACCCTATATCCGCTAACATTGCCCGTCGAGGAAGGCGATGGCTAGGCATGCGTAACACATGTCCTAACCATCTCAGTCTTTGTAGCTTCACGACTTCGTCGATTGATTTCCCCTGTTTACCTAGAACTCGACGCCTAACTTCAATGTTGCTCACCTTATTATGCCACTTTACACGGGAAATAGAGCGCAGGCACCTATGATCAAAGGCAGCTAGTCTTTTCATGTCTTCCGCTCTCAGTGGCCAGGTCTCACAGCTGGCCATAAAGGAGGACGGAGCAGACTGATGAGCAGTACCCCTTCCCTTTGGTCGATAGTCGAACATCTCGTCTACACTAGAGTCGGCGTGAACTGGCAAATGCGAAACGAGCCCTCTGTGTCCGTGCTGAGATTTCGTCAGAGATCAACCCGTTGGGGCTGATGGTACTTCCCAAATAAGTGAAACGGTCAACGTGCTCTAACGTGTAATGATTTGAAGGTTGGAAACTAATCTGTGCGTTTCACTTTACATATATTTGTTTTACAACTGAGAAAGTACTGGGTTTGTATACCTGCCTAAACGGTATTGTTGAGGTAATTTTGACTATTTGATATGCTATTATTGTTTGATAGTACCACAGATTTTATCGCATGTATATATCGCTGACTAAAACTTTCTTGAGCGACACAGTACTAAAGTCCCTCAAACGATAGCAAAAAGACAGTTATTTGCGATAAAATCTGTGTTACTATTAAACAATAATAACATATCCGGTAGACTGGATAATGCGACGGACAGCGGGCCGGCAACGAGGAGACAGACATAAAATGGACCCACACAAAAAAACTTGGAGGATCTGGACTTCGCCGATGATATATGTCTGATTTCCCACAAACTGGAAGATATCAATAAGTTTGCAGAAGAATCATCAAAGATACGAATTCACTTCAGTTGAACACAGAGAACACAGAGGTGGTGAAGTCAGATGATGGCCAGTGGCAACAACAACAGACAACAATCAGAATAAATGGGAGAAAGTTGGAAGATGCAACCTCCTTTACCTACCTACCTGGGAAGCATCGTTTCAACTACAGGCGGAACTGACGAGGATATCAAAGCAAGGATCATCGGGAAAGCATGATAAGCTTTCAGTATTCTCAAGTCTTTAGGGAGGTCAACAGCACTCATCATGAAAAATAAGATCCGGATTTTCAACTCTAGTATGAAGTCAGTGCTACTATACGGATCAGAGACTTGGCGCGCCACGAAGGGCACACTTCGAACAAACTACAGACCTTCATCAACAGCTGTCTTCGTTCAATACTCAAGATCAGATGGCCAGCCAGGAAAGATCAGCAATGGTGAGGGATCTCTGTGAGCGAACCAACCCAGCAGGAACTGATTGTGCAACAAATATGCAGGAAGAAATGGAGGTGGATTGGCCATACTCTGAGGAAACAAACCATCAAGTAACATAACATGCCAGGCCAAGAATCACGCACCAAACAGTTTCCGCAGATAATCCAAAGTCAGAACACTTTGACTGTATTCAAACAAAATTCCAGTCGTAAAATAGCACATCAATGTACCGCACGACCACAAAGAGAAGCATTGAGATTAGAGATTAAGCAGAGGGGTAAACACAAATAATAAGCATTAAATTAAGTTAACAGATGACATGCACACATCAGAGCAGTGATATACAGTCTAGGAGAAAAGACGATAATAATAATTACAAAGTTAGCTGGGATGTTTAAACATATTTTGAGTAAATCTTTCATGAAGGATTTTCCAAACAGTTATTTGGCTACAGGCTATTTAAGCGGTTATTCATTTGAAGGGTTTACTTAATTCCCAAAAGTTGTAACGTGACCATCTTTACAGGCTTGTTCATGAATTCATGCATCTGAACTCTGAATCCGTTTCTTTATATATGATAAATGCCAAAACCAATGTGTAACCATGTATGATGATATTTACTACTATATGAGTTACTCAGTAAAAATTTAGCGCTTTGTCAAACGAGCTAGTTATAATTTAATTTATCTAAGTAATTCTTGTTACCACCTAGTTTATTATTCACCCACGTGCATTGTTCACAACTGCTAAATATTCACAACTCTTGGTGTTATCATTCAGTGTCTGCCTTTCAGTTATGGCCAAATATGTTTTTGTGCACACATGGCGCCTTGGCTTAAGCATTTGACTTTCAGCCAATAGCTCCAAGTTTCAAGTCCTACCTCGCCTATTTCCGCCTGATCAACTGAGTAGTATCATTAGACGCCACACAAGAAGTGTGACTTATATCCTGGTACTGGGTGACTGTGATCTAACTAACTAAATATTTTTCTTAATTTCTTGTTTTGATTGTGAAACTATTAATGGCTGTTTTCTTTATTGAACCAGATTCTATTTGTGTAGCGATAATGCTGCATAGCTGTGAGATGATACCTTCATGAAAGCCTGAAATAGTATGTTTTTTATTTCACTGAAGTCTCAAGAATTTAACCAGGTTACAGATACCTCCACCTGTGATGATCCCCGAATACGACGAAATTCACACTGAAGATATCGTTACTTTTTATTATTCCCTTATATTCTCAGACGAACATAGGCCTTCAAGCTAGAGCTTTGGGGTCTCAGTAGCTGTGATGTTTATTTTCTTACGGTATGCCCAGCCTGCCCTCTTCGCCACTCTTATTCCTGGCTTAGTGAGGTTTGGGGGTGCGTCGGTGGCCGGGAATCGAGCCCCGAACCGCGTGCGTGGTAGGTGAGCATTCTACCCGTGTGCCACCGACGCATCGATATCGTTACTATTACTGTCACATACCAAATTACTTCTAAAACTTATTTCTTGAATTGCAAAGGGTACCTGCAGTGAAGTCAAAAATACCTGAGGCTGTATTAGTTTTCAGTTTGACTTTAATTTTATCTTCCTAAACAAGCCTGCTGTTTTTATTATTACTATTATTATTATTGTTCATTATTTTCACTATTGAATTATCTTTTATTTGCAAATGTAGCATGTTGAATTGATGCCAATCACCGGTGGATTAACAAAAGAACCCTCTCCGAATCGTGTATCATTTACAACATCAGACTATGATTCATCGTTCAGTAGTAATACGATGAATGGGTGCTCGGACAATCTATCAAGCCTAATTCATTTGGAGGCAATCTGTCTAGTTGTAGAAACGCCACAAGCAACTAAAATTCTATCAACAAAACAGTTGGGCACCTGTCAGTTGGAAGACACAAAAAATCAAAATAAAGAGGTATTATGATTACTTGTCTTCATTTTCAAAATCTTAAATATGCCGAAGTCGTTGCAGTCGTTTTTACGCCACATTTTTAGAGATTTCTGTGTCAATATCATAGTTGAAAAATAGGTTTAAACGGAAGTGATTTCTGTCTCTTTAATGACTCTTGTCTGAAAGGCGTCATTTAAAACAGTGATTATTTTTGCGTTAGTTAGTTGTCGGCCACTGTATTCATTGATGAAGACATCGCTGTAAATGAAAATAAATCAGAGTAATCAAACCAGTCATATGATACATATATAATTCGCCTCTTGGGTTCTCAGTGGAATATAGCGCCTCAGTAGCACAAACCATATCACCTTCTCCTCTGAAGTCCTTGTTTTAGCTAGTTTCATGATTGCCCATAGGCTTTCTTTGGCTCTCCAAGTGTTCTTTATATTCACTGTCGTACACTCATCTCGTCATTTCCCATTGGGTTTTCATTGGAAGGTCTGGCGCTTGATGTCATTCGACTGTCTCCTCAGAGTTTGTCCAATCAATCTTCATTTTCTTCCGTATATTTTCTGCTAAGCGACAGGTTCTTGCTTGGTTTCGCTGCCTACCAAAGTTCATCTTTGTTTGTTCTTCCTGGCTGGCCACCTAAACTTCGGAATCGGATCAGCGAAGGCAGCTGATGATGACGGGCTGCAGCAAGCTGTTGAAAATTCTCATAGTGACACGCGCACGAAGTCCCTGAAGCATATAGAATCATTGGTTAACTAGGCATTAGTGTTTAAAATTGTCATCTTCCAACTTGTACAGCAGATCTCCACGCTGATATCAGTTTACTGAACTTCTGTCTTGCTTTGCTGATTCTCTCCGACTTTGGCATTTGTTGTTGTTGGTTAAGTATTCTTATCTTCCTTCTGTTATATGTATTCACTTGAAGTCTTATCTTCCCCACCTCTTCTGTGAAGTTGTCGTTTGTAAATCTCCGAGTATATGTAGTCCTAGACAAATCATCTTGCAAATCTAGATCTTCTAGGATCCATTTGTCAGTCCAACCTATGCTTATCGTCTCACTCCTCATGGTCTTTCCCATGATCAAGTCCACCGAAATCATGAATATCATCTGTGATGGCAAGCAGAGTTATAATACTATTTTCACTTCAAGAACTTCACTACGTGTTACGTATGCCAAGCCATCGCCTCCCTCGACGAGCAACGTTAGCGGATATAGGGTCAGGCTGGAAAAAAGCTAGCGGAGGTCAAACAAAAACATGACCTTATCAGTCAATGAAATCCACAACAGTTGGTCTAAGCCACGTAGGAAGGTGTAGACTTCCAGGCTGGGGTCCTCGAGACGGTAAAAACCAATGGTTGGAAACAATTGGTGACATGGTTCAAAACCGTTCTCAGTGGCGCAGATGCATCCACTCACTGTGACTTATGATCTCCAATGAAACTGTTTTGTATTTCTTTATTACTCCTTTGTCTCACACCTCTGCTCACTGTTTCTATTATGCTTTTCTTGTACTTTCTTCTCTTGCTTCGCGTGCTACACGGAGTGTGGCGACTTGAACTTCCGCACATTTGTGCAAAGTTCTATGTCGAAAACAGACAGACAGACAGACTACGTTTCTCATCATCACTTGGCATGTCTGCCATCATTATGCAGCTGCTCAATATGGCCGTTTTTGGTTTGTGAAACCCTGTAGTCGTGAAGCAACATCCAAATCACTTCACGGTGGACTCTGTCGAAGGTTTTTTCTGAATATATATGTATATGTGTATACTACCTAACTGTTATCCTAAGTAATGTCGGGAATTCAACATTTATGGAAAGATTTTGACTGATTCGCAAAAATAATCTACGGATTTTCAGCTTCTTTCCATTAATATTTTTGTATTTGATATTGGGTTATGTTTCCTCCCCCGCAACAATCACCATGAATGGGAGAGATTTGAAAAGAAGGTTACTCACTTCCTTCACTTATCTAGGAAACATCGTTTCATCAACAGGCCAGCAGACCGATGAAGATGTCAAAGCCACTCAGAATCGAAAAGGCTACACACGTCGTCATCAATCTGAAGGCAGTTTGAAAGTTTTCTGCACTCAATCAGTATAAACAACAAGATTCGGATTGTCAACACAACAAATGTCAAGTCAGTCACACAGTCAGTCAGTTTTTCTGTGCGGATCAGCAACTTACACTGTGCGTCTCAAAAAGGATTCCGAACAACTTACTGCAGACTTTTATCAACTACTGCCCCAGTCACTGGCTGGCTCCATACTGAAGATTAAATGGCTGGCTGGACAAAAAGAATTAGCAACAAGGAACTCTGGTTGGTCACAAACCAGCCAAGAGCCGATTGATCAACAAATATGTAAGAGAGAGTATGGAGATGGATCGGGCTTACGTCATTGAGGAGGCTGTCGAACAACATTGCGCGTAATTCAGGCCATCACTCGAGTGGAATTCAGATGGGAAGCGACGAGTGGGTCGTCAGTATGAGGGTGACATGGAGGAGATCGTGTTGCGAGGAGGAGGAGGTGAGAGAATATGGGCAATCGTGAACCCATCTGAAGAGGACGGCGGGGAATAGGACAAAGTGGAGAAGTGTTTTTGAAGCCGTATGTTCCACTTGCAACCCAAGCGAATAATTATATGGTGTATAATATTTAAGCAAGTTATCTTTACTGACATACAAATATATTAAGATACTTTACTTTCGAATAATAATAGTAATATGATTAATGTTGAATTTCGTTCGAACCAAGGTTGTAATGATTGGTTTTTTGGACACTAAATTAACGCATATGAGTTGTTCACTTACAAAAAAACACTATTGGTCTCCATACATGAATAGTGTTGGAAGAGGTTAGTTAGCATAACTCTTGAAGCCTCTCATGCTTTTGACTTGTAATACAACAAAAATCACTGGATATTTATTTAACATTGAAATTTCTTCTCCTCTCATAGAATGGATTTTCTGGCCAATTGGAAAATAATTGTCTTTTGGAAGAAGCTGACTTACGCCGTCAATTTCCCAATTCTAGTGTGGAATGCTTTTGGCGAAAAGCTACTGTAGATGTAAACTGTAAACTGCCATCACGTACTAATGGAATCAAGTTGTCTATCGGTGTAATTCCAACTGTAGATATGCTTTTTACAGGCACTTCATCTGATGAACCAAATCCATGTTCTCAAGTATGTATAAAAATTATTCTGATCTTATTATTATTATTATTATTGTGACTATTGATTTGGTCACATTGTCAGGGCGTCTTTCCAATAGCATATAATCTTTTATGTTGTTCAATATTACTCTCGTCATCTAATCGGGATATAAGCTTCCTTACTATACAAGAATAAAATTGTTTGATAAATTATTCAGACATTTCAAGGTTGCGATGTTTACGAGAGCACTGTCACCCTGTGTCGTGGTGCGTGTGTGTGTGTATGAAGAACGAGATTTTGTTTGATTGGTTGGAGAATTTGATCATGAGCTGAAATCATTTAGAGAACCACTGAGAAACCACTAGGGATTATTGGAAAGCAATTTCGTCCTAGTTTGAGGCCCTTCGACAGTACGCATCCACCGACGGGGTTCGAACCCAGGACCTTCTGGTTACAAGGCGAACTCATAGACCATTGAGCCACTAGGACTTGATTCAATGGCCCATGAATTCTAACTTCTACCAATCAATCCGTGGTCTAACCTGAATTCAAAGTTGTTTGTTCTGTGTTTGTGGTATGCTCTTTAGATGTTTCGAATGAACCAGTGAATTGTCCTTAAAAAGTGACTCTGCTCACATTTTAGGTAGTAGCATTTTACCTGGCTTAATTTAGCAAATTTTACTGTGTATATCTTCCATCACAGAAACCCATATCAGCCTTCCTTTATTTTGAACAACTTGATATGATTGTGATCTGTAAAATTGTGTGATGTATTTCTCCTTTACCTCTGTATGTGTTATACTGTTAGCTACATAAGCTGTGGTAATAATATGAATATTATACGAATGTTTTATAGTCTAACAGAATGGCTCAGGTTGAATTTACACTGTGTAAAGATTACATATATGTTCCTATTGAAATTAGTTTTCATATGCCAAATAATAAAATTCTTTGTGACACAATGGCGCTTATTGTGTAGAGTCATCTGTGCTATGGGAACCGAGTATCAAATTGTTTTATAGTTGTTTCAGCAGAGCATATATATGGTAGGAGTTATTCACTGTATACTAAATACTGCTTAGCGTGCTTTCAGTTGCACACCCTATGCACTTAGTCCGGACAGCTAAACAAATCACAGCTTATTTACATTTTCTTAGACTTCTTCATAGACAACCCACCTATTATTTCCCTCCTGACGGAAAAAAAACAACTATGCTTTATGAAATGGGTTATTATATTATTATCATTATTGCTATTATTATTACATTTCCCTTGGGTTCCGATTGGAACACAGGGCTTCAACAACACCTTCACTTTGTTCTTCAGCTGGGTCCACTATTAACCATACGTAATCTCTCATCTCCTCCTCGCCACACGATCTTCACGTCACTCTCGTACTGACGACTCACTCGTCGCTTCCCATTTGACTTCCACTCGAGCAATGGCCTGTGTTGCTCACAATGTCATTCGATGGCCTCCTCAGTGACGTATACGCGATCCATCTCCATATTCTCCTACATATTTGTTGAGCGATCGGCTCTCGCTTTTTGGTTTGTTACTAGCCAGAGTTACTTGTTGCTAATTTTTCTTTCTGGCTGGCTGGCCATTTGATCTTCAGCATGGAACCAGCCAGCGATGGGGACTGGCAGCTGTTGATAAAAGTCTGCAGTTACGTGTTAGAAATCCTTTTCGTGGTCACAGTGCAAGTTCCTGATCCGTATAAAAAAAATTGACTGACTGACTTGATATTTGTGTTGACAATCCGAATCTTGTTATTTATGCTGACTACTGAGTGCAAAAGACTTCCGAACTGGCTTGAGGTTGATGACGACGTGTGTAGCCTTTTCGATTCTGAGTGGCTTTGACATCTTCATCCATCGGACTGACTGTGGTTGGAACAATGCTTCCTAGATAAGTGAAGGGAGTGAGTAACGTCTTTCAAATCTCTCCCATTGATGGTGGTTGGTTCTGGTTGTTGTTGGTTGGTTGGTTGATTGCTTGTCTTCATCACAGTCTTCTCTGTTTACTTGACACCCTATCTTCGTTGCCAGCCTCTTCTGCCAACTGGCTGGTTTTTGGGTTGTAGATCTACGAGTCTGTGTAATATTAAACATAAGTCATGTGCGAAATCCACATCTTCTAGATTTTTCTTGTCGGCCCAATGTGTTCCTTTCCACTCAATCCCTGTGCACAGTTTGACGCATAATCCAGTCCACCACAATATAGAATATCATCGATGATAATGGGTAGCCAGCGTGTCCTACTCCTATATTCACTTCGAATGCCTCGCTGAGTTTTCCATTGTTGATCAATTGAAATGTGCCATTGTCGTATAGCTGTGGAATGAGGTTGATAAAGACTTGGGGCACGCCTTAGTGAAATGGGTCATGGAATGTAGGGGTGTAGAATTAATAAGATTAATTAGTAGGCTTTTCGATGATTACGCAATAAGATGAGAATTATATGATATCGAATTAAATAAATTAAGGTGACAAGAGAGGTTATAGCGGAACTTGGATTAATTTGATTCACTTGTTAGATTTCGCCACAAACCAACAGCGGTTAGGGAGATCATTGGTAACCAGGATGTACTGGGCATCTGTTTTGTCCTATTGGGGGCCACCTCATCAGTGAGCACCCATTACCCCATCAGGAGCCAAATGTGGAACCTTCAGGTCACCTGACTAAGCTCGTTGAGCATTCAGTCCTTTTGGTCAGAATTCAAGGAACGGTGAATTCCAACTTTGTCTATTCGTGTTATAGAGCACTACCTTCATTATTGCCTTCAATGAGCGTCCACTTCAGCTTGATAGGTTGGACCAACCCGATTTGTCATAACTTCAATGGTCTTTCTAATTGATGTTGGTTCCTGAGGAAATCTAACAAGTGAAATGCCGGAACGCGTTCTTAATGAAAATAATAGGGACAATAAAAATGATAAAGGATGGATATATACAGATACACAGAAATGAGAGTTCGAGTAGCTTGACGTATATATATTAAAATCATAAAAGAAAGAGTGGTTGGACAAACCTTCTCTGTAATACAAAGCTCTGGCTTTTCTCTTCCAACAGTCAAAGCTTCAACAATGCATAAGAGGTCGACACGTGATGATTTCTGCAGGTTATCTTTCACCTAATAGGCACTGTGGTTGAGTACAACTCCATTATGGATAAGATTTTATTTTGATAAATCACACAGTGGTGTTGGACAGTAATATTAACTGATGACGTTTCGAGCACAAACTATTGCCACTCATAATCATATCAAGTTACTCACATAACTTATTCCCTTCATTTATATACATGTGTAGAATCGATTAGATATTGGAATAAAATCAGTATGAGATAATGTACATTCAGAAATAATAATAAGAGTGTTACTGATGAATTACAATCAGATGGGAAATAAGACGAGTGTTTTTATAGTCATAACAAGTTACTTGTTGGAATGTTGTGATGTGCTTAAAGTGAAATATAATTTTGAGATTATTTATTATCCTCCTCTGATTTGACTGCAGGTAATAATATCTTCCATATCTCTGGTATTTGCATTGAGTCATTTCTGTTGCATGTGTTGGGTGTAGACTCAATGAACCAGGTTTCAGTAATCAATCTCTCTCTCTCCCCACCTACCTAGATTACTTCTTAGAATTTTAACCCTCTCCCACCCTATTGTGTGTTTGTGTGTTAATGCGTGAAGTGCAATTGCTGAGCTTTTTTCTAAATTACTCATCTTCTCGGGGTCAACCATTCTTACCTTAGCTAAATTCTTATTTTCCGACAATCTGATTACCCACGATCTACTAGTTTGACCTATATAGTTGACCTCACATTCATTGCAGGGTATTTTGTAAATAATATTATTACTAGCTTACTAGGCTACTAGCTTTCTAGTTTTCTAGCAGGTCCCAAGCCCGGGTAAGGAGGGAGGGCTGGGGCGTGGTGCTAGCAACTCCACCCCTGTAAAACAACCAAATCGCTACAGAAACTTCAACGAATAAATATATTAAAAATTCTAAAAACATAAACAATAGCCTTACTTTTCGCTGGAATCGGGGAAGTGAAATGACGCAGGCTGGTGAAAGCCTTCGGGAAGCCAGTCAGCCGATGTGCCTTCTTTCGATGAAAGCAAAAGTAAGGATGGGTACCTGGAATGTTCGTACAATGTACGAAACTGGAAAGGCTGCCCAGATAGCCGCTGAAATGAGAAGGTACAGAATAGAAGTGTTGGGAATCTGCGAAAGCAGATGGAACGGAACTGGAAGGTGCCAACTACCTACTGGAGAGACAGTAATCTATTCCGGCCACCCAGAGGACAACCACGAGCACACCGAGGGAGTGGCCATCATGATGTCACCAACAGCAGCCAAAGCTCTCATGCAGTGGGAACCAATCTCCTCCAGGATAATGACAGCCAGGTTCAACTCAAAAGGAAGGAAAGTTACAGTCATTCAATGCTATGCGCCTACAAACGTCTCAGAACAAGAGAAGAAGGAGGCGTTCTACAGACAACTACAAGCAATAATGGACAACGTCCCAAATGGCGATATCAAAATCCTGATGGGCGACATGAATGCGAAGCTGGGAGGAGACAACACAGGAAGAGAACTCACCATGGGTCGTGAGGCCCTCGGCGAAATGAACGACAATGGTGAACTCTTCTCAGACTTCTGCGCCTTCAATGATTTGGTGATTGGTGGCAGTGTGTTCAAACACAAGGATATACACAAGACGACATGGATTTCACCAGATGGAAACACCAAGAACCAAATAGACTTCATCTCAATTTCAAGAAAGTGGAGACGGAGCCTACTGGACACAAGGTCAAGGAGAGGAGCAGATGTGGGTTCAGACCACTATCTAGTACAAGGGACTTTCAAGGTGAAACTAAAAGCCTCGAGGATAGCTGGGGATAGGCCACAATGCAAGTTCAACACTCAATTACTGAAGGACACAACCACAAAAGACACTTTCACTGCAACTGTCAGAGCAAAGCAGGAAACACTACGCGACATCACTGAAGAATCATGCGTGGAAGAACATTGGAAGTCTCTGAAGGCGATTCTCAACGAAACGTGTTCAACGGTTCTAGGAAGAAAGAAGAGACAAGACAAGGAATGGCTCTCAACGGACACTTGGAAATTAATAGAAGAGAGGAGAATGGTGAAAGAGAAAATGATTCAATGCAAGGACGGACAGGAGAAGGAGACGCTGAGCTCAACTTACACAGCACTGGACAAAGAAGTGAAGAAGAGTGCTAGGAAGGACAAAAGACGATTCTACGACAACCTCGCCACTGAAGCTGAGAAGGCAGCAGGCAAAAGGGACCTGAGGACACTATATCAGATAACCAAATCTCTATCCGGGAAGAGATCAACACAAGCGAAACCTATAAAAGACAGCCAAGGGAACCCAATTACCAAGGAAGAAAAACAGATTAAACAATGGGCGGATCACTTCAAAGGACTCTTGAACCGACCATCACCTGCAACCCGTCCAGAAATACCAACAACAGCGCGCACACAACTGCAAGTTGACACCAATCCTCCAACGAGAGCTGAAGTCTTGAATGCAATCAAGCTTCTGAAAGCTGGAAAAGCAGCCGGACCAGATGGAATACCCCCTGAAGCACTGAAAGCGGACCCAGAGACTACAGCAGACATGCTGACTCCATTATTGCAAAAGGTCTGGAAGGAGGGAAAGGTTACCTCGTGAAACTACCAAAGAAGGGCGACTTAGGACTCTGCAAGAACTGGCGAGGAATCATGCTCCTATCGACGCCAAGTAAAATCCTGAGTCGCATCATCCTGGAGAGATTAAAGGACGCACTGGAGACAGAACTCCGACCAGAACAAGCTGGATTCAGGAAAGGCAAATCATGTACTGACCAAATTGCAACTCTACGCATCATCATCACAGAACAAAGCATGGAATGGCAATCAAACCTCTACCTCAACTTTATAGACTTTGAGAAGGCCTTCGACAGCGTTGATCGTGAAGTAATTTGGAAATTACTCGAGTACTACGGCGTACCCCAAATATTCATCAACAGCTGTACGACAACGGCACCTGCCAAGTGATCCACAACGGAAGACTCAGCGAGGCGTTTGGAGTAAACACAGGAGTCAGACAAGGGTGCTTATTCTATCACCAATGATATTCCTAATTGTGGTAGACTGGATTATGCGTCAGACAGTGGGAAACGAGAAGACAGGGATATCCTGGACCGACGTGAAGAACCTAGAAGACCTGGATTTTGCGCATGGATGATTTATGTTTGATGTCACCACAAAATCGAAGACTTACAAGCGAAAACCGACAAACTGGTTGAAGAAGCAGCTCGCGAATGCAGAACTCCAGATGAACATCAACAAGACAGAGGTGACGAAAATAACCACCACCAACAACAACAACAGCAACATCCAGCGCCAATCAACATCAACGGGAAGGATTCGAGAGAGGTTACTTCATTCACTTATCTTATCTAGGGAGCATTGTCTCAACTACAGGAAGTCGGAACGGACGAGGGTGTCATATCGAGCGAGAATCAGGAAGGGAGGCGAGAAACACATTCATCAACCTGAAACCAATCCGGAAGTCTTCGTCACTCAGCCATCATCAACAACAAAATTCGTCGGATTTTCAATACAAACAACGTCAAGTCAGTCAGTTCTTCTATACGGATGAGAAACTCGGCGGGCGGGTGGGTCACAAAGAATATTTCCAACAGCCTGTTGCAGACCTTTATCAACGAACAACTGTCTTCACTGGATTTATACTGAAGATCAGAAAGAAAGAATCACCAACAAGAAACTATGGCTGGGAACAAACAACACAAGAACCAATCGCCAACCAACAAATATGCAGGAGAAAGTGGAGATGGATTGAACACTCGCTCCCTGAGAAGGCCACTGGGTGACATCGCGCGCGTGTCAGGTCATTGGTCGAGTGGAACCAGACCGAAAGGGAAGCGGCGGCGAGTGGGACGTCAGTGCAAGGGTGACATGGAGGAGATGGTGTGAAGAGGAGTTGAAAGAGTATGGACTAACATGGATGGAGGTGAAAAGTACAGCAGAAGGAAGACAGAAGCAAGTGTGGAGACGTGGAGTTGAAGCCCTATGTTCCACTAGGAACCAAGGGAGTGATAATAATAATAATAAAATTATTATGTTTAATTCAGTCAACAGGGTCCTTTAACCTACAGAGCTTGTCTTACCTGAGTAGTGAGTTTGTAGGTTTGAATGCCACCCTAATTCCTGCTTTTCCTAAAAATCCTACGTAGGGTCTCAGATGTCCCCTCCTTATATGGTATAACAGTAGATGACTTATATTCTCTCTTATTTTTGTTATCACTAGTAGTTTTACAATTATTTTTATTTTGCTTTTGGCCTTTACTGATCTTCCTAATGAATTTTAAAGGATAGTTATTCCACACCAACGCCTCTTCTACCTGTTTTATTTCATCATCATTTAGGTCTGTTTTTGTACTACTTAGTGCTATGGCTCGGTTTGTTACACATTTCACTAAGCCTGTCTTAACAGTTAACAGATGAGACGAATTAAATTCTAAATATGTATTAGAATGCGTTGGTTTTCTATAAACACTAGTGTGTAGTTTGCCTTCTTCTATTCTTTTTATCTTAAAATCTAACATAGCTAATTCTCCTTGTTCATTTTCTGATTCAAATGTGAATTTTATCCCCTCCACTAGTGAGTTCATGTGTGTCTGTGTGTGTATCAAGAAGCTAGAGATATGCTATGTTTGTAACTCTGTGAAAGTGTCATCCACATATCTCCACCATATTTTTGGAGTAGGATTAAATGTATGAAGAGCAATATTTTCCCAGCTGTCCATAAATATATCTGCTACGATAGGGGATATTGGTGATCCATCCCATTGCTACACCTTTTGTTTGTCTATATATTTTGCCTTGGAAAAGATAGTAGATGTGAGGCATAACTGGATGCCTAATATAATTTCCTCAATGGGTAGATTTGTCCCATGGAAGATGTTGTATTACATAACCTATTTTGTCAACGAATATTTCACAACTCCTTCACTTTCTAAACATTATTCCTATAGAATACCAAGTAGACTTAAAATATTTTTACATGTGATATACAATAACAAGTGGCTTTCTTTTTTCTTTTCTTTTTATTCACTTTATTTTCAAAAGTATAGAGTTGTTGGAATTACTTATCGTCTTGTAGACTGTGGTGGAATGCGAGTATGCCTACGACCACCATTCAAATATATTTATTCGATGTCTTCATGTGGTGTTGGTGGTGGTGTTGAATTATTTCATAGAGGACGTGAAAGACATCCAAGTTGTTCATCTTCATCAACATTGTCAACTGTACGTTCTTCTTGGACATTTGGTTCAGAGCCTATATTTCCATCAAATAATGCTTCAGGCGCCTATGATTTTGACAATGAACACTTATTATCTAATGTATTAGGTATACAATTTTCATTATTACCAATGATTAGATTACAACCTGCTATGCCAAGATTATGTATATTTCCAGGTCGTATTTGTAGTGCATTTGATTTAACAGAGGCTATGAATATCTTGAAAGATGAAGTGAATGTTAAGCATACATGTGATTTAACCAAGCAAATGCACACTCTTGGTCTATCGAAATTTCGTGTTCCTGATCCGTCCAAATGGTCTAATCGTGTAGCAGCTGTGGTATGTTTTTAAAAAAATTCTAATTACTCTATGATTTCATGTATTCAGATGTTTGTTACTAATTGTATGATTACGCAATAATATTTCAACTATTAGTATTAAGAGGATTATACATATCCAGATTATTTTTTTACTTCACGTTCCCAGTGGAACATAGGGCCTCAAGCTGGTGGCTTGAAGTTTCTGTAGCAGTGTTTAATTTTACAGGATGGGTTGCTAGCCTCATGCCCAACCTTTCCTCTTTACCAGCATTATTTCTGGCTTAGTGACGTAAAGGAGCGCGTCGGTAACCGGGAATCGAACCCCGGACCATATGGATGGTCGGCGAGCGTCCTAACCGCTGTGCCACCGACGCACCAATATCCAGATTATACACGATACGAATTTCTTGGGATATTATACTAGCTATTTTTAACATTACGTCTTTCCCCGGTGGCATAGTGGTTAGGACTCTCGCCGACTATGCACATGGTCCGAGGTTCAATCACCTGCCGACGCACACCTGATATCTATGTTCGGCCTGCAAAATTTGGGTTATCAATATCCATTCTGAAAATTCCATACTTGTACCAAAAATACAATGCGGAATCAAGCTGTAATCAATATATATATATATATATATATATATATATATATATATATATATATATATATATATATATACTGGTTATTTTTGCACCGTCCCTTTAGTGTATACGTCTAAAACTCGTCTGTTAATATCCTAAAAGTAGTTGAAGAGAATAACTCTTGAAATAGCTTCTTTGTGATTTTATTCTCTATGTTATCCTGTCTATGAATGCAAATTTCAACAATCATTTTGACGTTTAGACATTGAAGGTTATTTTTGCTTCTGTTTTATTGATAAATTGACCCAGGTGCAAGTGATTGGATGTTAGAATTGAGTATTATTGATTTTTGAGGTCATCCGATGTGACTAGAATACATCTCCAGACAGCTCATTTTTTAACCAAACTGATAGACACAAACAACAGTAAATAACCGCCATAACCTCTACTAGACAAAATACATCATATACACAAAATCTCACGTATTTAAGCCATAAATGAAATGAGCAAATCTGCTTGGCTGTATGACATCTCGACACGTCAGAAAATTAAGCCATTAATAAACGAATCAAAAATTGTCCAGTTAGATTATCATTTCAGTGCACAAATCATGACTTCATGGCTGATAGAAAACTTGTCCATCTTAACACCACTTTGTTAGATACTTTGTACGCCTGCGTACTATCCACCTGTGATGTAGAAGGTCATCGTTATTATTGGATCGGGCCCCAGTGACTTAATGATCTACGAGCTAGCTCTCCTTGTAAGAGGAAGGTGTTGGGTTCGAACCCCTTCAGTGGATGCGTACTATTGAAGAGATCCAAACTAGGACGAGAAATCGAAATAAGTAATTCAGTATGATAATGAACCATCAGATTAGAGAAATTACTTATTTCTAATTTCGCTGAGGTTTTACAAACATAATTTTCATGAATAAACCCTATCCAGACATTAATGTAGACAAAACATTTAGTTCAACGAAGAGTCTCTTTTCGATAGCGAATTTATTCCCTTAGCTGTACAATCGCAATTATATATTATACTTATTTTTGTATGTGTGTGTACATTACATTTGTTCTTTAAGAATAAAAATAAGTTAGGATTATTGTTGGCAAGATATTTCAAAAAATGTGATGAGTAATTAAAGTGTAACTACAAGGGAGGGGTGGTGATGTGTTGTCAAAAAAACGTCTTTATTAACATATAAAAGAAGTTGAATAAGCGTAATACAGTTACGTAATAAGATGAATAGTTTGATGAGTGAGTTGTGATTAGGATGCACATAGAAACAAAAGAAAATATGGAATTATGTAGAAGTTCTAAAAATTACAAATGTTAAAAGTAGTTAGAAAAAAAAACAAGCACATAAACATCAAGTCAGTAGAAGTCAACACGGTTGTTACCATGAAACTAAAAAGTGGTTGGATGATTTTCTGGTTTCTCCATATGGAATGGCTAAGGCTTCAGCAATACAAAGGACACGAAAGCGTGTTGCCTTTGGTAGGTTGTTTTGTAGATCACTTTGAAGCAGGAGGCGTTTGTTGAGATGGAATGACCAGTGTCGATGAGATTTTCGATTATCGCACTCCTTATATAACCACTATCACCTTTTTGAAACCATGCGAGATAGTGTTGTTGAAAGCTTTTGTACAGGATACGCATCGAACGACCAGTGTTACTGGCTCCACAGTAACAGGTGAACTTAGAATTGGACAAATGCGGGATCTTGTCTTTAAGGCCTCTGCAGATCAATGGGCGACTGGAGAACACTACTCTTAGAATTACTGTGACGAAATGTTCTTTTCAAAGATTCTGAAATTTTCCTCTCGAGGATATCGCAGGCTAAGTCTCTCTTGATATCCGGATTTATGTAAAGCATCTTTTTTGAAACAAGTGATGTTTCGTTCCTCTGGACCTTTGGTTTGATACTACTGTGCTGTCGGACAAACCTAATGTACACACATATATACAAAAAAAAAGAATAAAGAATTTCGATTGTACAGCGAAATGAATGAATTCGCTGAACTACGTGTTTTGTTTAAATATACTTTCCAGATATGTTTATTTCTCACTCGGTGCTCAATTATCATGAAACTACTCGATCAAATTTTGAGCACTGTTCATATAATAAATTACTTTATTGGTTGCCTGAATACTCAATTGATCATTTTCAAACTAGTTGTTTTTTGTTTTTGAATACTCTTTAGCAGCATATACATAAAAACATTGAAAATCAATATTGAATAAATAGTTATCTTGAGATTTTGTTTAATTGTACACAAACAGAATCGTGTTTAGGACTTTCAGATGTGGCAGCTAGATCGCTAACAATCAGCACTGTTAATTTTTAGTTGATTGGTGTATGTGTTTTTCTACAAACATAAATCATTTCGTAAAACTTTTTGTACTATTCCTTTATGTTCCCAGTGGAACATAGAGCTTCAAGATAGAGCTTTGAAGTTTCTGTAGCTGTGGTGTTTATTTTTACGGGATAAGGTTGCTAGCCTCATGCCCAACCTTCCCTCTTTACTAATGTTATTAGTAGTTTAACGAGGTTTGGTAGTGAGCTGACCGTGGATCGAACCTCAGACCACCTTCGTGGTTGGCGAGCATTCTACCGCTGTGCCATCGACGCTTTTCGTAAAACTAATTTCACCATTTTTAACAATAAATCCTGTGATTCTTTATACACACACCTTCGTTAAGACTTTGTAATTCCACATCAATGATCTTCAAGATCAAGTGGAAATCATGACAAACAGTACATGTATTCAGTTTGTGATGTCAGTTGTGGGGATGTAAAGAATCCCCAGAGAAACAATTTCACTCGTGAGTAATTTTAACGATAGTGTATAAAGTAATGGTAACTTTTAAACCCTATACTAACAAATCGATAACAGATAAGTAGTGATACGCTTCATATTTTCGGTTGACAACTAACTCAAATAGTAGTAGTGGTTGATAATAAGTTGACAGTTGATGTAACGATGTTGATAATGTTTACGATCAGTTTGAAATTCCCGTTCTTTTTTTTTTCAAAGCGAGTGTTCAAAACATTGATTGTAGACATACTAGAGAATAGTCTAACAGATATACAGCTATATTTTACTTAGTTCTTTATCGAAATTTAGTTTCCACATGGTTCATCAACTTCTAGGGGATTTTAGGAGACTATTTCTCAGATTAAACTGTCAGAGAGCTGTAGAAATATACGTTTCACTTTGGAAAATTAGGAATGTTTTCAGTATATACAAACCAGAAGTTAGGAATACTGCCTGACTTGTTTAGATAACAACCAAGAATTTCTCTGCTCATGTTTCGGATTCAAAGATTTATGACTGTCTTTTGGCAGCTTATATGAATCCAAGGAAAACTCGCGTAGCAAGTTGTTCATAAGAAAGAAATAAACACCTAGTATACTGTGATCAGCTTCCAGGAATATGCTTCAACCGCCTCCCATTTATTTTAAAAGCATCTAAGAAAGCCAATCAGACATTTTGTTTATTGCTTTATGCAAATAGGGAACCATTAACAAACTTCATACATCGGGGAAACGTTTAGTTTTCTCTTCAAAAATTATGAAACTTCGAAATTTCCGTCATACTGAAGGTCCTTATTCCTTCATCTTTAATCCATACTATTTTACAAGAAATAACGAAGTTATTGTTTTTGTTGTACCCATAACGGAAGAAAATAAGAGACTTGGTAACGGACTTTTTTATTACGGAAAAACACATCATATTTACCCAGTCTTAATGATAATGAATCCAGCTAGGTCAGCGTATCACAAATCGTTCTGACTGGTTAGCAATTGGCCCAAGGTTAAGCAAGGTTTTCCAATGAGGTCATTTCATGGTCCCAACATAAACTTTAATCCAAACTTGAGGAATAAATACTTCCACCTCTGTAGTCATTTAACTAAAAATGTTGATTTTAATGTTTATCCGCTTTCGGTCAATCTGCACACGTTACATATTTATCGCTTACACAGTCATGTAAGTGAAGGTCTCAATAACTTTTACTCTTTTCACTGAGTTCACAATCGTCACATGAGTTTATTTCTTACCTTCTGCTCATTTTGTAGTAATTCACAAAATGTTATATTCATATCTTTTTGTTTTATTTTACAGTTAGACCTGTCCATATTTCCATATGAGACTAGATGGTTACCCATAGAATTATACATTCGTGATGAGAACAGAATCAATATTCCAATGGCAAATAAGAATAATGCCGATAATAGTAGTGTCAATGATAATCTATTAATCATAATGATCATAACAATAATAATAATAGTCCTGACAACATTTATGATTGTGATGGTTATTATTGTTCACTAAAACGTCATCTCAATCTGCTGCATGTCAACGTCAAGTCGGTATCAACAAGTTTATCATTGTTGACTAAATTAAACTTGACTGCAGCTGATTTTATCCAATGCATTGGTATTGAAGACATTCGTAGAAAGGTGAGTTCCAACAGTCAAAATGCATTGTTTTCTATATCTGTTTTGAAAAGAATCCCTTGTCGACGAATATATTGCCTTTTGATTGCTAGTTGTGTGGCTTCCCCAGTTATGGCCGGAACTGTGACCTAGTAGACTGTGAGCAAATAATAACTTAATGTGCTGGCTAATATGTCCTAATCTCACGTCAACAACAATAACATCGCTGGTGCGCAAGGACAAAAGACTGGATGTCGATAAGAGAGCTTTCATCGTCTGAGAAAACAGTCGAAATGCAGTAATTGAGTGATACATCAAAAGTATTAACAGCCAATAAGAATCCAGCAATACAAACAGAGGGAACGGCGGAGGACTGGCGCCAATGCGCGATATAACTCCTCACAATATATATTTTAAGGTTTTAGGCAAAACCAGATGTATATAACATTCCCTAAAGACTTCTTTTATTTTTTTCGCCTTAGGTGGGCCTAACAACACTCAATGATGCATTGTCGTAATGTTCTGATCAATAAGGTATAACATAGAAGTATTTTAGAGGAAGAATGAAAAAGACGGTTGATGGGAACGGAAAAAAGTTTCTTTTCAACGAAGTCATCAACTAGGTTGTACATTCGTGCATACTGTCTGTCTGTTTGTCTGTTTTCAACATAGAGCTTTACCCCGATGTGCAACAGTTCAATTTGCCACACTACATGTAGCATACAAAGCAAGAGAAGAAAGTAAAAGAAATGCAAAATAGAGATAGTAAACAGGGATATAAAACAAAATGAAAACTAATAACGAAGAACAATATAATTTCATTGGGTATTATTAGTCTCAAGGAGTGGATACATCTGCGCCATTTAGAACAATTTTAAGCAGTATTACCAATTGTCTCCAGCCATTGGTTTTCATCGTCCAGAGGACCCCAACCAGGAAGTCTACACCTTCGTGAATACATAATAGATGGGTGAGAAAGTTTCAGAACTATTTGTGGTTAACGGTCAAATTAACTAAATTACAAAATATGGATTAAAATGTAATCACAACAGAATAAACAGAAAGATCGGATAAAAATATAGTAGAATAGTAATAATTGAAAAATTTGACTTTTTGTGCAGTTAAGGATTAAAAGGGTAGTAGTAACAAAATAGATAGGAAGTTTGAATATTGAACTTAATAGGATAATCATTATTGAGAGAAATGTCTTTTTGTAAGGGTTATGGTGAAGCCAAAGGTTAAATCTTTTTCTTTTAAATGCATAGGGTTTGTTTGAAATTTTGGATTGCTAGTGCCTCAAATATTATGCCTAGATGTATTGATTTGACTGCCTTTGAGTGACGTGATCGGGTCTTTTATAATAATTTAAAGGACTTTTCAAATAAAATTGAATATGCTGAGTTCACCAGATGTTCTGTTACCGAACTGTGTACACACACCTACGTTCTCTCCTTGCTAACCAGTCTGGAATAGTGGTTTCGAACGCGTTTTACAAGCGGACTCATGGTATCACCCATATAACCAGCTCCATAAGAGCAAGTGAACTGGTATATATGCATGTTGAACTAGCTGGCTGTATAGTTTCTTACAAGAAAATGTCACTCGTACTCGTAGGCTGGAGGAGTGACTGGAAGTTGTTTGGAAACTTCTTACTCATTACTATAGCATACACGAATATACATCCTATATTTGGTCACTTCGTTGAAAAGGAAATTTTCTTCTCTGCCGTTAACTGTCTTTTTAATTTCTCCTATGATCTATGCATATTCCGTGATTTGAAGAGGTAGTTTAGTAAAATTACAAAAGTCTTACCTACGACGTTGCGTAAATCAAGGATGAAGAGAGGGAATTAAGTTTCATGGAACTTCATCATTTAAACGACCTTTCGCCTAAACCTTCGGCCAATCACGATAAACTGTTGAATGAAAGTAAGTTTCAATCATGCTTCTGTATTAAAAAAATTCAATTTTTCATAGAATTAGTGGAAAGCAGCGAAACCTGTTAAAGTAGACCACAGAATTTATATTAGTGGTGTGTTCATGTCCTCCTTTTTCCTCTGTTCTTAAGATAATTATTGTGATAGGATTGTTCTGCCTACCTGCCTGTCTGTGTGTGTGTGTGTGTGTGCACTTAAGGCTCTCATTGTATTCAGGTTGTAATAACTATTTTTGGAAACATGGACAGCGTCCCTCTGTTGTATCCTATTGTCTAATGTATATATATATATCCTTATTATGATTACCATGGATTTTAATAATAATTTATTATCAATATTATTTATTTCATTGTCTTTTGTTTTGTTTTGTTTGCTTTTGAATTTTTACAACGACATCTCTCTATAGTTTCCTTTACCCGTAGAAAATTATGAGGTTCCAAGTTCACTGCCTAATGAATACTCTGATTTTGATGAACACTTCTTACCGTTATACGCTACTCATGTGGGTGTAATTTGGTTACGATTTGATTCAGATAAATATTGGCAGACTGTAACTAATCGATTGTCTACAGATCCTGAATTAAATGATCTGGTGAAAACTATTTCCGTTCAATCTATTTACATTGAATTAGAAATTGAATATGCCTTGGATGCAGTGATAAGAACACCGTCTTTTGAACTGAATGAAATATCGTCCAGCTTTAGTCAATCACAAGCAGCATCATCGTCACCACCACCAGCTGTAGCTCGTCGAATTTCTTTAGGATTTAAATTAAAATTATTATCATCAAATTGTTCTCCATTGAATATGCATGATTTAATGTTAACCTTTGAAGATGAACCATTAACAAATGAAGATAATAAAAGTCGGTATCAGTTGAATTCAAAACTTAATGGACATTTATTTGGTGAAAAAATTCAAGCTCAAACATTTCTGTATGGAACTGTTGAAGCAAATTTGTCGTATTCATTTCTACCTCAGGTATGTTTCTAGGTGTGAATATTATTTGTTAACCTGCATATATATATATATACTCCCATATTAGATGGTAGGAGGCAGTCAGCCACAGAAAGCCTTGGACTTGGGTTTCATACTAGTTGGCACTCGTCAGTAAGGTGTATCTGCAAGAATGTCATGTCCCTTCTGAGATTCGAACCTGCGTCACCTGGTGTTGCAGTCAGAGACGTAACCACTTAGCTATCCGGGCTCTCGATGGCGAGCCACCTAAAATGGTGTTCATATTACAATAGAGTTCAGTTTGCACCAGAAATAGGAATAGACACATTACACTAGTTACTAACTAGCGTCCGATCAAAACATACTCTCATAATATATAAATTTCTTTAACAAATTATACGATATTAATAAATAATGTTTTTCAAATATTGGTTTTGTGGGGATTTTGTTTGATTGATTGGAAGATTTCATCATGAGCTGACATCAGTTAGAGAACCATTGGAAAACCTTCAGGGAGTACAGGACAGTTGTTTCTTCCCTAGCCCGCTGCTGAAGAGTCCCAAACTAGGATGAAACAGCTGTCCAGTACTGCCAGGTTTACAAGGGGTTCTCTAACTGATGTCAGATCGTGTTGAAATCCTCCAGCTAATAAATAATGCCTTGAGCACAATTTATTACTCACGATAATATCAATGTATTCACACGATTTGAAAACTTGCTTTATATAGCTTCACTCCTTTCCGTTTTTTTTATTGCATGTGTTTGTTGTTAATACTATGAACGAAGATTCAGTAATTAACCTTTCTCTCGCTCCACATAACTTCACTACTTCTTAATGCTTCTCCCTTTACCACCGTCTTGTAGGATTACATACGAGTGAATGCATATTGCAGTGGTTGGAGCTTTCCCCCAGGTTACTTAATTTATCATGGTCAATCATTCCGGCTCTAAATAAATTGCTATGCTTCCAATAACATAATTAACCTCGATCTACCTGTTTTACGCCTGTAATTAGCCTTAGAGTCATTGAGTGATATTTGGTTCTCAAGCTGAGAAAAGTTTGTCTCTGAATGAGTGAAAAAAAAACAGAAATCCTACTAAATGAAATACTAATAACGAAGTAACAATTATTCTACCTCACATATGATGAAACTATCATCCATGTATCTTTGGTATAAATGGAAGCTATCGATAGTAGGTCGTAACATTCTGTTCTCCAAACTGTACGAGAAGCAGTTTGCAAGTAAAGGACCCAATGGTGACCCCCTTGTTACTGGAAAATAGGGTTCCAACGGCACAACCATATATCACCTTGTCTTTTGCAGTTCCTTTTCAACTGACTTCACGGTTTCCTATAAGCTTTCATCTCCTCCTCAAACGATTTTATTGATGTCACCCCGTTGGACTCCCAACACACTAGTCATTTCCCACTCAGGATCCAATCGAAGGAGTGGCATAGAGCACGATGTCACTCAACCGTCTCCTTGGCATATTTTTGCAATCCATCTCCTTTCCTTTCAGCATATTTATTGCACGATAAGCTATCGGTTGGTTTGTTTCTGGAGTATTTTTGATTGTTTTGTCCTGAATCGATTGATCTGAACATCAAATAGGGTGCAGCAGGTCGGGTGTGAGGACGAATAGTCGCCGAAGATATTGGCTAGGGGTCGCGCTATGTCGTGAATTGGCAGAAGTTAGAATTAATGAACTGGCCATTGGGTCGGGTCCCAGTGGCTTATTGGTATACGAGCTCGCTAGCCTTGTAACCGGAAGGTCCTGGGTTCGAACCGTGGCGGTGGGTGCGTACTGATGAAGAGTCCTAAACCAGGGTGGACGAAACAGCTGTCCAGTACTCCCAGGTTTTCCAACAGTTCTCTAACTAATGTCAGCGCATGATGAAATCCTGTAATCAATCAAATACCTACAAACCAACACTTAAATATAAAATTGTTTTTGTGTTCGAGGAAATTTCTGTCAGTTTTGTGCTACGATTGTGAACTGAATTTCTGAGCTGCTGACACATTAACTTTCAAAATTTGATTTATGTATATATTACTACTCTTGGCTGGATTATGTTCTAAGCTATGCGTGTCTACTGGTGTAAGATAAAACATTGATTTTAGTATCAACTACCTTCTATGCTTTCTCAGTTGATATCAATTTCTAATTAGCTTTTTGTCCTTTCTATATTTTGAAATACGTGATACTCTTTATTTATTGCCTTTATCAGCATTTTGTTTTTCATGCAGACATTAACTAACTAAGCTGAAAATATGTAGTAACACAGTAGACTGGGACAAAAAATATATAAAGACTAAATATTTGTATGTGCGCGTCTTACCTTGACGCTAATCATCCACACACACAGACACACACACACTGTGCACAAAGATATGCGAAATGCCAACACAAGTTAGACATGCTTTTCGTAGACTTTTAGCTATAAATACATGATTGATCTTCTTTTTCAAATGATCGTAGATCCACTGATTGACTGACTGACTGACTGGCATGTTCATGCAGATAGTTTGTTTTATTCGCAATGTTTGATGAAAGTATCACAATGCTGCACAATTTTTATCATCAATCATGTGATTTCAGGGTGTAGCACAGAATTTTGAAACAGCTAACTCATCATTGTTACGTGTGTGTATAGATCTATGCCTATATAGATTCTAGAGTCCCATCATATCTTGTTATTATGTCGCTTTGAGCATTATACATTTATCTATTAATTTACTTTTTTTTTGTCTTTTTTAATAGTTGGTTATGAAGCCTGAAGATGTTTTAAATTATCGTCTTGAATTAGAGTTGAAAGAAACATGGAGTGATAAAAAGGAAAGTTTAAAAACACCAGTTCGTCTGAGTAGTTCATGGCTACAGTATTCATTACCACTGAGAATGAATAGTCTTTCAAGGCGTAAATCATCTATCTCAACTTCAAATGTTCCGTTTAAATTTTCAAGTGATGCAACATTATCTTCACAAAGATCTATTCCTTTAAATTTTGATTCAAATGAATTCGAGGGTTTAGAGAAAGTGTATCAAATTCGTTTACCCCTGAATGGAATTAGTGACTTGATATTTAATAATAAAATGATGAGACTAATCAATACAGATCGATTAAAATCAAATGAATTAGGCATACCAGTACCAGTGAAAAGTGAAGTACCAGGCAATGTGTTGGAGTCAAATATCAAGGTAATCTATAATATATATATATACCTTCTTTTTAAATTGTTCTTTATTATGAAACGTGCTGATACGATGGACTTCTTTGAATATGTTAAGTAACAATATAAAAATGACTGTGAAACAATAGACCCTTAAGGTAGGTAGATAGGTAGGTGGATAGGTACTGTTATCTTCGTTGAGTTTCCACACGAATGATCTGAACTGGTTATTTCAAGTAGACTTACACATCAATATTGGATGTGAGTATTTCCAATCAGCGAGTTAGTGAAAACATGATTACTGCGGTGTGATTACTATTGTTATTATTATTGTTCCCTTGGGTTCCTAGTGAAACATAGGGCTTCAACTCCACGTCTCCACTTGCTTCTGTCTTCCTTCTGCTGTACTTTTAACCTCCATCCATGTTAGTCCATGCTCTTTCAACTCCTCTTCACACCATCTCCTCCATGTCACCCTTGCACTGACGTCCCACTCGCCGCCGCTTCCCTTTCGGTCTGGTTCCACTCGACCAATGACCTGACACGCGCGCGATGTCACCCAGCGGCCTCCTCAGAGAGCGAGTGTCCAGACCATCTCCACTTTCTCCTGCATATTTGTTGGTTGGCGATTGGTTCTTGTTTTGTTTGTTCCCAGCCATAGTTTCTTGTTGGTAATTCTTTCCGGCCCAACCATCTGATCTTCAGTATACAGCCAGCGAAGACAGTTAGTTGTTAATAAAGGTAACGTCTGCAACAGGCTGTTGGAGATATTCTTTGTGACTGACTTGACGTTTGTATTGAAAATCCGACCGAATTTTGTTGTTAATGCTGGCTGAGTGACGAAGATTTCCAGATTGATTTCAGGTTGATGAATGTGTTTCCCGCCTCCCTTCCCGATTCTCGCTCGATTTGACATCCTCGTCCGTTCCGACTTCCTGTAGTTGAGACAATGCTCCCTAGATAAGATAAGTGAATGAAGTAGTCTCTATCAAATCCCTCCCGTTGATGGTGATAGGCACTGGATGTTCCTGCTGTCGTTGTCATTGTTGGCTGGTTTTTTTCATAACCTCAGTCTTGTCTATGTTCACTTGGAGTCCTGTCTTTTCCGGCTGCTTCTTCGACCAGTTTGTCGGTCGGTTTTTGCTTGTACATCTTTGATTTTGTGTGAAATCAAACATAAATCATCCGTGAAATCCAGGTCTTCTAGGTTTTTCACGTCAGTCCAGGATATCCCTGTCTGCTCGTTTCCCACTGTCTGACGCATAATCCAGTCCAACACAACTAGGAATATCATTGGTGATAAGTGATTACAATAGTCATGCAAAAAAGTATCACGAACTGATTATATGATGCAGCATTGTGCCGATCAATGAGTGGCTATCAATGTGGTGAAATCAGATTGGTTGATAATCTGATTAATGCTAAGGCAATCAATATTTGTTCAAATTGAGTCCCTACTTACAGACAGACTATTGAGCTAGACTGTAGTTACACATAATATCTTCCCCGCGTTAAGAAAACTGGTGGTGGTCAGTAATACGCTCGCTTTGGGTCAATCTGAAATTGGGGACGTTTTCGTCGTTGTCCTCGAATACTTCATTTTATTGTATAAAACGCTGTTTCTGTTCTTTCACGGGATCTGTGAAACTGTGCAGCATTACGTTCTTTTTGTTTTTTCGACTGTGGGTAGTTGAAAAGTACCCATGTATGAGTTTTGATGACGTAACTGATGCTAATGACAAGTCCATCCATCATTGCCAACTTTCACATAAACAATTTGACTTTGTCTTGCCGTAACCTGATCTTCACTCCAAGCTTCATACCTTCGGTGGTAATCACAAACGCAGAACTTGTATTAGACCCTGCATATTTCAGTAACTTCAAACATTACCTGACAATGTTTGTCTTTCATGTTAGTGAGATGTTTTACAATGTAGAGGATGAGTTAAATCTTTTGGGGAATGTCCTAATAGGAAATGGATTTCCATCATGCTTTGTAGACAAGAATACACATTTTATGATTACTATACTTTTTATATTGGTTTCTGTAAACTGTAAATGTAAGCGAAACTGTTGGATAGATAGTTATTCATTTATTTCACATGTGCCTCTTTTCAACTCCTTGTTGAATTCCTCGTTTGATCGCCTTATGTTAAATAGTAGTGAATTTATTAATTGACGTATATTACTGTGCAACAAAGTCTTTAATTTTGACTACTCAACAGATATTTTGGTTCTCGCGTTTATATGCACGTTGGACATCATCGAAATCACCAGAATCTTATTCTACCAATGATAATTCTAGAGAGTATGAACAAACCAGCTTGTGTTCACGTTTTCGTCGTTATGGTCGAATAATTTTATCATCACATCAATGTCAAGTAGATCCTAAATGGCTTCTTAATGAGAATCCGTCTATCCCATCGACTAAACCATGGTATGAATATCCATTTCTTAATTCTGGCTCATCTGTTGGTCTTCTTTGGGCACATAATATATGGATAGGTTAGTAATTTTAAATTATATTTCAATTACATTTTGTTTGAATAGTATTATTTATTAGAAGAGTAAGTTTTTGTCTTTAAAAAAATGTGATGTATTTGCTCAATACATTTCGAATAGTTGGTTTATATGAAAAAATGAAATGAAAAGCTATTTAAAAGAAACAAAATGATAAGGAATTTAAGAATGAGAATGTTGGTAATCCTTACCTGATTATACTGTGGTGAGAGTTGGCTGTTAGTCAAAATTGGTGGATAGTAATTTACCTCAATGTTCATGTCCCCAATATTGGTCGTGAGAAAAATGAGAACAAAGACTTTGCGTAGACGGATACAGTTAGCATATAGATGATCTGACATTCAAGAAACAGCCACAAAGAGATGAAAGATTAACTTTCTGTGAGAAACAACTAATCAGAAGACTGTGTTTTTCTGTTAACAATAATCTATAATAATGTACATGAAAATCTATAAATATGTTTTGATTTCCTTAATAAACGATCCCTTGCCTGGCCCTTGTCTTCTGTTGTTACAATACTACCAAAATTAGTTTTAATTACTCTCCTTAGGTTTGCTAGCCTCACACTTATTTTTCCCTCTATACTGGGCTAACTATCGGCTAAGAGAGGTTTCAGAGTGCGTCGGCCATGAGTCGAACTGAGAACATGTATGCGGTTAGCACCGTTGACACAGTTATATATATATATATATTTTTCTGACGTACTGTTTTCTGATATGTAGTGAATTGAAGTAGTGTATTTTTGTGTAGGGTTTTACATTGACCTGCCCGTCTGTGTATTCAATAGTTCTGAATATAGAGTATATTAAGATGAGAATGAATCCTCATTGTCTTTGGCTTATATATGAATCCTTTATTGCAATTCTCTGTATAGTGTACAGATTTGGACTATGATCAATAGTGCATTGATGATAATCATGTTAATTACTGTCTGTAATTAGCAGCATAGAGAAATTAGTTACTATTCCCTTCAACAACACATCTCCACTTTGTTTTATTTTATTCTGTCCTCCTCAGCTGGGTCCCCGATTCCCCATAATTTCTCATCTTCTCCTCGACACACGATCTCCTTCATATCACTCTTGCACTGACGACCCACTCGTCGCTTCCCATTCAGATTCCACTCGAGCGATGGTCTGCATTGCGCGCAATGTCGTTCGATGACTTCTTCAGTGGTGTATGCCAAATCCACCTCCATTTTCTCCTACATATTTGTTGAGCAGACGTCTCTTGGTTGGTTTGTTGCCAGTCAGAGTTTCTTGTTGCTAATTCTTTCTTGCTGAATGGCTGGCTATTTGACCTTCAATGTGAAGCTAGCGATGCAGCTGTTGATAATTAGTTAAATATCAGTTATTAGAGTTATTTAGCTGATTGTCTAGTACATATCATGATAACAGTATTTATGAGTCAACCAAATATCCGCATAAAAACGCTTTGACAATGTTCGACGATTAACAGGATGTGTTATGTCTTCAAGAGTTTTTCCTGTAGGGATTTGGTTTCTTTCCAATGTGATTGCTGATCGATATCAGTTGGGGAACCATTAAAGACCAGGGAGCAGTGGACAGCAGTTTCGTTCTTGTTTTCTGGAAGTTTTCATCAGTACGCACCTAGTAGGTTTCGAACCCGGGATCTCCTGGTTACAAGGAAAGCTTCTAGACCATTCAGCCACTGGGACCCGACTAAATGGCTAGACTAATTTCAACTAATTCGTAATTTTAACGCGACCTGTTACATGTTGGATGGTAACTTTCACTTGAATCCATGATGTTCACCTTGTCCTGTTTGTGGCTCGTCCGCTGAATACGTCTCCTATCCTTGAATGAGTGATAGTGTTCTCACTAAGATTCGAGTCCAGCTTTAGCAGTGGATCACTTATTATGAGGTATTGTTACATCAAATAGAGATTTCATAGAAGTTTCGAATATTTGATGACAGGGTTTCAGGATTTTTCAATGATTGTTTGTTGAAGTGTCAACTGGTGAATGCTAGTCGCCTAGTATGAACAGTCATTTGTACTACTACATTTAACTTGAAGTTAGATTTTCTCTTAATCATGTTTCAATCATGAACGTCTTGTTCTGTGCTATTTTTTTTTAACAGACATTAGTTTGGATCCACTTTTTGAAGAGAAAAGTCAATCCAGATTACGACATATTACCACTAAGAAACTTGATCCTCAAAGCCAGTTATGCTTACAATGCCGTCAAGAGCTTCCTTCATCACGTCAATTGAATAATAATATGATACGAAGAATTTCGTCTATATTTAATGAATCACAACCAATGGGTCAAGTAAAAAGTTATATAAATGTTCGAAAATCTGAAATGGTTTTAGATTCTCGAAAGATATCTATGCCCGATCTGAGATCATCACAGTCCGGTAAACAAATCGATAAAGATGATCTGTACACATCATCTCGTATTTGTACTTATCCGTTGAATCCTGTTTCTGTGTCTATCAAATGTGGCACGAGAAGTAATTTATTTCGAAATATTCGTATCCAAAATGATCCACGTAAGTTGTATTGCTTGTAGTGAACTTTGTTGGCTTTTTATGGTATAACACTTTCTAGTCTGTCTGTCTGTCTGTCTGTCTGTCTGTTTTTGACATAGAACGTCCCACTCGCCTCTTCCCTTGTACATATGTGCGGCAGTTCAAGTCGCCACACTCCATGTAGCACACAAAGAAAGAGAAGAAAGTAGAAGAAATGCATATTAGAGGCATTAAACAGAGGTGTGAGACAAAGGAATAGTAATAACGAAGACAATGTAGTTTCATTGGAAATCATGAGTCACAAGGTTTTGATGCATCTGCGCTAGCCATTGAGAACGATTTTGAGGCATGTCACCAATTGTTTCCAGCCAATGGTTTTTACCGTCCCGAGGACCCCAACGAGAAAGTCTACATCTCCCTACATGGCTGGCTTACACTAACTGTTGTGGATTTCATTGACTGATGAAGCCATGTTTTGGTTTGACCACCACTGGCTCTTTTTCAACTTGACCTTAAGTCAGCTAACATTGCCCGTCGAGTAAGGCGATGACTAGGCATACGTAACACATGTCCAAATCATCTCAGTCTATGTAACTTCACAGCCTCGTCGATTGATTTCCCCTCCTTACCTAGCACTGGAACGACGCTTAACTTCAATATTTCTTACCTTATTATACCCCTTAACACGGAAGATAGAACGCAGATGCCTATGATGAAAGACAGCTAATCTTTTCATGTCTTCAACTCTCAATGGCCAGGTTTCACAGCCATAAAGGAGGACGGAGCGGACTGATGAGCAGTACACACGCTCTTTGGTCGATAGCCGGATATCACGTCTACGCCAGGGACGGCGTAAACTGGCATATGCGAAACTAGCTCTCTGTATCAGTGCGGGATTTCGTCAGAGATCAACCCGTTTGGGCTGATGCAACTTTCTAGTAGTAAGTTGCTGAATAGTTTCTATGGAGTTCTTCACCTGCAAATCTACTTTCAGAAAATATCACTTTTTAGCTCACTTCATCTGCATTCCGAGGATCCCCAGTGAGGTAGTTTAAATCAACAACTGTCAAAGACTTCATGAAATGATTCTTGGTTCTGATCGACCACTCCTTACTCTTTTCCAATGTGATTTTATGTCAGATAACATTGTTCAATAAGAAAGGCAGTGGTTTGACATGCACGATACTAGTTATAAACATCTCAATCTATTTAGGTTCACAACCTCAACGGTTGATTTGATATTCCTACCTAACACTCTACTCCCAATTTCAACATTTCTCACTATATCATACCACTTAAGACAACGCAAACGTCTGTGGGCAAAGTTAGTTAGCATGTTCATGTCTTCAACTTTCAGTGACCATGTTTCTTAGCCATAAAGAAAGACAGAGTAAACAGCTACCTAGTACATATGTCATTTGATTGAAATCCGGATATCAAATTGACGTCGAAGACGAGGTAGATAGGTGGTAATTGCTACACGAACTTTTCATATTCATACCGAGATTTCGTCAGCTAGCTGTTCTTCCACGTCACGTGACATAAACAAGGCAGTGTGTTAACTGTGAAGCTAATTGTTATTAAGCTTGCTTTATCTCCCTCTCTCTAAATAACTATATTTTCTTTCATTGTTCTTATCTTTCAGAAGTAATAAATTCTGATGGTAATAATACTCCTCAAGATAATACATCAAATACTTCAAATGAGACGATCGATCCAACGAATGAATTTCGAATAGAACGTGTATGGATGGGTCCAGCTGTATATAGACATGTACAACACATCAGTGAAGATGATTCTGAATCAACTCAAACAACACTGTTAGGACCATTGATTGAAGGGATAGACTATGCGTTTGTTGGACAAGCATCGGGCAGTATTGGTGTAAGTCCTTGTTTCGTTCATGGAGGCATATACGTACCGAGATTTTAATAATGTGAAATGAATTGTATGAAACACAGATAATTTCAGTAGCATGCACATGAGAAGAACTCAGAGGGTTTTTGCAGAAAGAAATTCCTGAATATATGCCAAAAAGATTGTTATTAGTTGCTATTGGGGACAGATCATATCATACCTAATACACCTCTTCAGGTGGTAGATATGCAGAGTATCAGTCGATTACCATGATCATCAAAAGTCTGACAATCGGAACTGGATTTTAGCGTAAAGAAGGATTTTGTGATCCACCTTGCATTGCCTTGGTTATTTCTCTTCAAACAAAATAGGCGATGAAATTGATCTGTTTACCTTTTGGTGTATGTATTTATTATTTTATTCCTTTACGCTTCGAGTGGAACATAGGGCTTCAGGCTTGAGGTTTGAGGTTGCAGTAGCATTGGCGATTTTGCGGGGTGCAGTTGCTAACCTCACGCCCGGTCTTCCCACTTTGTCAGGCCAACTACCGGCTAAGTGAGGTTTAGGAGTGAGTCGGTCGGTTGTCGAGTTCCGGACCACATGTTTGGTTGGTGAGTATCCTTTCACTGATCCACTCATATGGCCTTTGTGGCGGACCCTTGACTTAGCTAGCTTAATATCCCGAATTCAAATAGAAATAAAAATGCGAAATCAGTAAAGTTACTGGGAGAATATATTAAAATTTGTTACTTGGGTTATTACAAGGTCCAAATCCACAATTAACTTAGTAGACTCCAGCAGTATTGTGAGAAGACTGCTCCAATCCTAATTCTCCAATATCAAGATTGCCAGAGGTCGACCAAAGTAACGTAGGGAGAAAATACGGCGTTCCTACGAAATTCTGAGACAGAAGACAGGTGATTAAAATTGGCTGATGGCAGTTGAGATGGTGGAGAAGACGGAGAGTTGTAGGCAGAACTATATTTTCATTCAGAACACGAGGTTAAGTTCAAAGTACAGAGATCATGATTAAAACAAAGTGATGTACAATATGTTCATTTCTCACATAGTAGTAAAAGTTGGATAAGTTTATTTTTAAGGACTCCACACCTTTAATCCAGGTGAAACAAAAACTTTGTCTCTAAAATGAACTGCTTAAAAATATCTTTTTTGCCATAAGCCTAATAAAATATGTACTGAACCATTGTTTAATGAAGCATAACAGTGTAAATCAACTGTTGATTGAATATTTATGTGTACGTAAATTGAACGACTGATGTTTAATGAAATTGTAAGATGTCATTGTTTAGTCTCTTGGTTAGTTACTACTTCATTTCAAACAATCTACTTTGAAATAATGAAGTTAGGTTTAGGATTCAATGTATGTGGACGAAGTTTTAGTAGTGTAATGTAGTTTAGGCTTGTCGATCTTAATAATTGAGATAATTACCTGTTTTGTGTGTAAAGTTAATGTTATTACAGAACAGATAGTTCTCAGTGTACAGATATTGTTATCGACATATTCTATTGACATTCCGAAAATGCTTCACAATCAACTACTTTTATAGACTGACTAATCAATGTACTTCTTGTTAATTGACCGAAATAACATATTATGCCGTGTGTGTTTGATCTAACAATCATTAACTTACTGTAATTACTGTAATCTCAACTTGATCGACTTTGAAAAGGCCTTCAACAGCGTCGATCGAGAGGTCATTTGGCAACTACTTTGCTACTACGGGGTGCCGCCGACAACTATACATCTCATCCAACAGTTGTACGACATGCATGCCTGGCATGTACTGCATGCCAAATAATCCACAACGCGAAACTTACGGAATCCTTCGAAGTGAGGACTGGAGTAAGATAAGGCTGTCTACTATCTCCGGTGATTTCCTTAATTGAAGAGATTGGATAATGCGACAGACAGTGGGCAATGAGAAAACAGGCATAAAATGGACCCGTACAAAATACTTGGAGGACTTGGACTTCGCCGATGATATATGTCTGATTTCCCACAAACTGGAAGATATGCAAGTGAAAAGCAACAAATTGGAAGAAGAAGCATCCAGAGAACACAGGACTTCAAGTGAACATAGATAAAACAGAGGTGATGAAGATTCCTGGCCAACACCACTAACAGCAACAACAATCAACATAAATAGAAGGAACCTGAAAGAAACAACCTCTTTTACCTACCTACCTGGGAAGCATCGTTTCAACTACAGGCGGAACTGACGAGGATATCAAAGTAAGGTTTTCATTTCTCTCAAGTCTGTGTGGGGAGGTCAACAGCACTCATCATGAAAAATAAGATCCAGATTTTCAACTCCAATGTAACGTCAGTGCTTCTATACGGATCAGAGACTTGGCGCGTCATGAAGAGCACCTCAAACAAACTACAGACCTTCATCAACAGTTTTCTTCGCTCAAGACCAGATGGCCAGAAAAGATCAGCAACAGGTAGGGGTCTCTGGGAGCGAACCAACCGGGAACCGATTGTGTAACAAATAGGCAGGAAGAAATGGAGGTGGATTGGCCATACTCTGAGGAAACCATCAAGTGACATCACTAGACAAGCCATTGCTCGAGTGGAACCCGAAAGGGAAGCGCCGGGTTGATCGTCAATGTGAGGGTGACTTGGAGGAGGTCATGTGAAGAGGAGATGAAAGCATGTGGGCAGACTTGGAGTCAGGTGAAAACTCTAGCAGAGAACCGAACGCAGTGGAGACGCGCTGCTGAAGCCCTCTGTTCCTCTAGGAATTAAAGGAAATAATAATAATTAAGGGGTGACTTAAATAAGTATACTTGTCTCTCCCTCATTTTACTAGTCCTTCTTGAGTTATTCCACTTTAGTTGCGCGTAAGCCTAAGTTCCCTCAAGTAGGTCCGAATTCATATTTTCTACTCCCCATTCGGATACTACTATAGGTGTGTTAAACTAAACTCAAACTTTTAGACACTCATTCGCTTTAGTTTTAGTTGCCGAAACCACAATTCCGTAGGTATAAGTATGTGACGTTGTATGTAATCAATCCATCCACGAGATACGATTTTATTCGTAATTTTTAACACAGTGTAGAAAAAACAAACAGGGTAATGTACTGTGCATTTTAGTGGCAACATTCAGAGGAAGTTGTATGGTGGGAACGCTGTTGAAAACAGCGACAACAACTCATTAACTATTGGTGTAGTATGTTTCATATTGATGTGTGTCCAGAAAGCTTTATTCATTAGAAAAATTATCTTCAAACAACTGATGAAAAAAGTAAGTGTGTCGTCGTCGTCTAGCAAGGATACCTCTGAAACCTCGGGGTTTTTTTAAAAAACAAATGCATCCTACGAATTGACAGTGCCAGTTAAAAATATATGGTACAAACTAAACGAAAGTTAGTCTACACATCAGGTAACATGTAACAGAGGAGTAGACAGAGAAATAAACTGATCGGATAGGCTGTAAACTGCTACACGACAAAGGAAGAAACAAAATGAAGCAATGTGGTTTTTGAAATCCTGAATTCCCCGTTGTTTTCTTTTATTTTAATCAAGATGTCTTTATCATAACTTTCATGTCATTTGACAGGTAGTATTTGCTTACCTAACTTCCTTTAGTGATCGAAGCCAACTTGTTGTGGTGTGAAACGCCGATCTCTGCGTCCTACTGAATAGCTGACCAAAAACTCCTTGAGTCACACATACACATAGCCACAAAACACTCCAAAGACAGCAAAAAGACGGTTATTCACCGTAAAATCTGTGGTTCTTTTGAGTAATAATAACATCCAAAACTGTAAATTACCGCAAACTGTGCCGTTAGGCAGCTGATACAGGCTAGATAATTCTCTAGTAAAAAAAATCCCACTGTAAGAAAATCCTTAGAATCAAGTAGAATATCCCCCAACAAGTAGGGATCAAAACTCTGTCCGTAAGAATCACACACCAACAATTCCTGCAAACAGTCCGAGGTCAGAATCACCTTGATTTACTCAAACAAAATCACATCGTTAAACAGTTATTAAACATTGTCAATTTGTTGCACAACTATGAAGAGAAACATTAAGATTAGAAATTATTTTGATTAGACACTAGTAACTAGTGTTATGCGTCTAGTCCTTTCTTTGGGGCAGACTGAATTCTGTCAGTCAGGTTTGTAATATGGCCATCATTCTAGGTGGCTCGCCATCACGGTGCACATTGATTTGATGATATTAGATGGTTAGAGGCAATCGCGAGCCCAAATAGCTTCAGTGGTAACATCTCTGAATGTAGTACTTACTGGGTGACGCGGGTTCGAATAACAGAAGGGACATGAGCTCCTTCAAGGTTGCAGATACGCCTTACTGACTGGCGAGAGCCAACTAGCACGAAACCTAAGTCCGAGACTTCCTGTGGCCGATTGCCTCCAACCATCTAATATCTGATTAGAGGTTAACTAAGGACAAAGACAATCAATAAGGATCAAGTCAATATATGATGTGCAAATATCAGAACAGCGACACACAATCTAGAAGGAGAACGGACACTCATTGGAAAGTTAGTTGAAACATTCCAATAAGTGACAATGTTGTGGTTGGATCGTTCACGGGGGATATTCCAGACAGTTTTCCTGTCACAGTCCTATAGTGTTTTCTTGTCATTTTGATCTCCTCCTCCTTTTGTTAGTTCAGTTTTGAGCTTGCTAACATGATCATGTTACCTAATGCACCACTTTTGCAGTGTATATGTTTGATGTCACCGATAATTTCATCACTTACATGCTTTGTGTAGTATGGATAGCCTGATTTGAATACTCTTCAATGATTATATGGAATATTGATTCTATAAAACGTTTAAAAAATAATCAAACATTAACAATGCACAGTTGACTTCGTAAGTCCCAACCATATCAACAACTTAAATGAAAATTCTTCATAATTAACTATGTTTCATGTACAATTATAGTAATTCTATTTGTTTTTTTTTTCATGTTTTATAGATCTCTGTCCCTCACTCGCCATCATCGCCTAGTCACAAACCCAAATCTATAGTCAGTTCTATTGTATTTTTACGTCCTGGAAAATTTTGGGTTTGTGGATTACTCGGGGTTCTACCACAGTCATCTGAGCTATCAATGACAAAAGATGGACAAATACCTAAAGGATTTCGTCTACCCTCAGTGCACAGTGTTGAAACAATACGTTATTCCCCAAATGGTATATATATTCATGTACTTGATTCGTATATTCATTAAAAACAGGGGTGAGGTGGGGTGCCTTGCGGTACACACACACACACCACCTTGCTGCTATTCTTCACATTGTGCATATCAGACTGTGTGTAAATCACAGATGCCAAGATATACCTCTATCTCTTCTTCTTTTTCGCTTTTTTTTTATTTTCCCGCGTCAAAACCGGTTTATTTTATATTTTGTAATTATGAGCACCAAAATTCCTATTATTATTATTATTATTATTATTATTATCATGATTATGACTGTCATCAGTGTTCTAACTGACTGTAACACCATTTAAGCAGACTGTGATATATTCCATGCCATTCATTACTTTTTGAATTAAATAATAATAATAAATAGAGAGGATATTAATTAACCTGATTGACATAGTGTGTTATAATTCTTTGTGTAAAACACATATCAAAAAATAATTAGTCCTTATACTTCTTGTGTTATACACGTATATATACACAAACACACATTCCACTCATCACTCACTCATGCATATATGGCGCTTTATTTCATTCTATTTCTGTTGATAATGTGTGTATTCTTCAATTGCATTTATTGGACACAAATATACCACAACACTCGTTTTGATGAATGAATTAAAAATAAAAAATACAATTTCATATTATTAATTTCTTCAGTTAGACTAAATTGATTTCTGCTATGGTTTTTGTTATTCACTTTTTTATGACCTCTAGAGAGATAATTTTTGTTTTCCCTTTTCAAGCGCAAATACAAATAACCCCTTTGAACCAGTTTGAGTAATTTCTGTATCAGCAAAAAAGAAAACAAAAGTAGGGGGGTAGGGGTTGGAGGAAAAGATGAACCACTACTCTTCATTTTTTTAAATCTTTCCTCTATTGTGAGTACAATTGATCCTATGCTCACTCATACACTCTGACATTTATCCACATTTCTATTGTCTGCTATCTTTCTTTTATATTTTTTGTAGTACAGGTAATTGTGATACACATATATATAAATTTCTACATGATTGATTATATAATCAAGTTTTACAATTTTAAAACAATATATATATACATATATAATATCATTCTAATTTATTTTTGTTATTTTTTACTTTTTTTGGTGATCTGTTACTTTTTTTAGATGACAGACAGTCTGTGTAATGAAATTTATCAGTTATATAACCTTTTTTAACAGAAAAAATCCCTTTTTTAAAAAACATAAGATTGTTTTATCCTTAGTAATGGTTGGTAATTTCTTGCTCTCAGGAGTTCATCATGAACTGACATCAGTTAGAGAACCGTTGGAAAACCTTCAGAGAGTACTGGAGAATTGTTTCTCAGTAGTTGTGACTCTTCATCAGTACGCATCCACCACAGGGATTCGAACACCGGACGTTCCTGCTACTAGGCTAGTTCTCGTAGACCATTAAACCACTGGGACCCGATCCAATGATCCACGAATTACAACTTCTACCAATTCCTGATATCCCACGAGTACTAGCGAATGTCACCCGACTTGCTGTACCCCGCTGGTCACGACTTCCCATTAGAACCCCAGGTAACTACCTACCTGAATAGGGCCAGCCTCTAGTGAGCATCAAATCCCTGAAAACTAACAATTGAATATCAATCTGGTGCTCACTAGTGACTAGCTCTATTCAGGTAGGTAGTTACCTGGGGTTCTAGTGGGAAGTCGTGACTAGTAAGGTGGTGTAGCAGGTCGGATGTGAGGACAAATACTCGCCGGTGACATAAGCCTGTGGTCGCCTCGTATAATGGTCAGAAGTTGAAATTCATGGACCATTGAATCGGATCCTAGTGACCTAATGGTCTACGAGCTCAGTGGGTGCGCGCGCTGGTGAAGAGTCCCAAACTAGGACGAAACGGCTATGCAGCACTCCTTGGTTTTCCATTGGTCCTCTAATCGATGTCAGTTAGTGATGAAATCCTGAAACCAATCGATTCCCTGCAAACCAACACTTGAATTTATTGCTTATTTTATTTTCAGTTGATGTCTTTTTGACATATAATAGATTTTAGTTAGGTTGAGTGAAAATGCCTTCGACGGTGATGTAATTTGGAAATTCTTTCAATACAATATTGTGCTACAAATTTGTGAAAACCTCCTTCAAGGTGTTCTCATGCTTAAAGGTGCCAAAGCTAGGGAACATTTGGAAAGCAAAACATGCGCTCATTACTCTGATATTGGTGTAGAGGTTCACAACACTCAACAGAAGGAATATTATCTTAGTTTTCCATATGGTTCAGAGATGTGACTCTCCAGCCGCTTTCGCTGGTTTTATTCTGAAGTTCAGATGACCAGTTGGAAAAGATAAGCAACAAAGAACTCTGTCAGTGGACCAGTGAAGAGCTTATTGACAAACGCATATGTAGAAGGAAACAGAGATGTATTACTGATACTCTGAGATCACTGGGTGACATATGTATAGAACAGACTTTCATGTGTGAATGCTAAATGGAAAACGACGAGTTGGGTGACATAGAAGAGGTTGAAACCAGCTAAGACAGATTGTGAAGGACCGTGTTAAATGGAGGCTTTGTGTTATGCCCGCGAATTATGATAATAATAGATAAGTTGATTCAATACTAACCGGCTAACCATTTGAGAATTGTTAGTTATGTTTTGAGTATGCATTCTTCCTCTTACTGTTCGTAAAGAAACACTAAGCAGTCAGTGATTTATTCCATCGTCTTAAGACTGTATTCGCTTCTTAGTACATTTAGCTATGGTCTATAGATGTTAGTTAGATGCGTTTCAGAAATCACAGCAGCATTATATTGTATCTTTTCGGGTATAATTAAAAGTGTTCGAAGTAAAATCAGTATAATTCATTCAAAGTGTACAATTTCTCACTGAATATTTCTGTGCATTCCATTAACAGAAATAATGAGGAAATTAAGCATGTTCCGGATATAGAATAAGATACTCATCGAGTTAAAATACCACATTTTCTAAAACCCTTATTCAAAAATTAGCTATTAAGATGTTCAACTAAGGAGAACTGGGATTATTTTTATGATTTGAAAGCAAATTTGGTGCACTACTATCAATTAGAAGTGCTACATATTGTATTATGATAGAAATTTAATGAGAAGAGATAGCATACTGAATGAATATTAGGATTTATCTAAGCCTTCTCACAAACTGAGCGGTATCATTCGTCACCGTGCACTTGCTTACGATGAAGAATACAATTTCATCATAATCACTAATAACTTACACGAGTGTATTAATTTATCAGCTCACATAATTTCTCAGTTCCATCTCTTATAGTTCACCCTATGTATTTCTTCTTACAAGTCTGAAGACCGGGCAATGCTTTCCAAAGTCAGTGTCCCAAGATAATGAGACCTTGCCCGGTCAGTCATATCTTCATCCTTCAACAGGTACTGGTATATAGATACACTCATTAGTGTTCAACACTTGCAGTGCTAAATAGCTTGAATACGGGATTTGGTTCTGTTAATCGAGAGGTACTATGGCAATGTCTGTCTGTGAAGAGAGTATCAAGGCACTCCTCCTCAACTTCTGTAGCTGTATAAGACTTTCTGGAGATTTGAAATCAAGAAAGCCAGTGGCATCAATATTCTCATTTAATGTCATCATAAATGTACTGACAGTGATGACTCTGGTCGAATTGGAATTGCCTTATTGCCAGGATAAGTCTTTTTGTTCTGGAGTATAAAATGATACAGGCATTTTAGGTCTAAAGACTGACAAAATGCAGTCTCCTGAAGATTCTATACGAAAACTTCATTACCCTTGATATACTGTTCACTCTTTTTAAGTAAAATTGATGGTTTTGCAAGACTAATCTGCACGGATAGTGAAATGATGGGATGTATTTACCATTCCACCAGTTTGAAGACTTAAATTGATTGATGATTACATCTCTGCGTCAACAGAGATTACTTGTTCAGCATTCATGGGTTCACATCGTCATTAGTATAGGCGTGATATCTGGCTGCTCACCAAAGAATTGCGTACTATGCATTCATTCTTAGTGCCTTACTTCATGATTGTTACACATGACCTTTGAAGATTAAAAATGAGGAAAGCTTAGCGGTCCTGATCATCCATGATTCTGTTGAATTTCACTTATGAGATGGTATAATATAGTCAGTCATAATGAAATTATGATCAGAATCTTAAATATAAGAGAAAGTCAGTCTAAACGATTGTGAAAGTATTTGATTGAGATGATTAGGGCGTATTATTCACGTGGATTGTCCACCTTCATCGTTTGAAATGTCAGTTAAGCTAGAATTGGGTTGATAAAAAGTCAAGGTTGACCAAACAATTTGTGAAGTATTTGACCGTAAGGTTGAACCACATAGAATAGTATCATATACTTGGAGAGATTCATCTGGATCCTAAGAACTAACAGCTTAAGAATGCTAGGGATGTGATCTCTAAGAAACTCCTTAGTCCCAATTAACGAGACTTAGTTGACTTGTTCGATTAAAACCCTGAACGAGATCAGAAGTAAATGCATTAAAAATATCAATATTTAGCACCAATAAGTGATTCTAAATTACTCAATAGATTCTGTTTACAAGCATCTCTAATGGCTTGTATTATTTTACTGAAAGTACAAGCGGCATTTCACTAATCATAGTTCATCATTTCGACCCTCTGAAGGTAAATTACTAGGATTATGCACATATTTATTCTTTGTTCCTAAATACACAACAACGTGACTGAATTTATTGATAGTGTTAAACAATAATAGGTTCATTTCATATTTGAAGTTTCTGTAGTAATTGGGTTGACTCTCTGGGTTTAGGTCGCTAGCCACATTCCCAGACTTCACTCTTTTTCCTGGCTTATAACCGCTGGTAAACTAGGTAACGATAGACTGTGAGAAAGATGTGATCCTATGAGCAGTCGTGGACCCAGCTAAAGCCGGCTGGAGCAAACAGGAATAAATGGAGATGAGCAACCTAAGGGAATCATAATAATTAAGTATGAATTAGTGGAAGTTGGAATTCATAAGCCATTGAATCTGGTCTCAGTG